ATTCAAATTCCAATATCTTAAATTCCTTCTCTTTTTGGCAGTTGCTACCATTCTTCCCATATCTAAAATTTTATTAACATTTTCCCTTTATTTTTTCAACATATGGGAATTATGCATGTAATTTTTTTATATCGTTTGTGTTACTTGCAGGATGCTCGGAATTTTACTCGTGATCCTCCATCAGAGACGAATTTTGATTTCGCACAGATGCAATCGGTGGCAGCTGCTTTACTAGAAGATGATCCAAATTTGAGAAAAATTAGATTCCAGCTTGTTCCAAAAAAGTATTCTTTGCATTCAGTTCTTCGTGTGATCCAACTTGTTTTCATCCACTGAAAGTTTTTTTTTTTTTCGTACACAGTCAATGATCAATTTCATTTGACTACGGTTTGATGTAATTTGCTAAACCTTTTCCAGACTCTAAGTACACGTTTGAAATGTCGTGAAGTTTTTGTCTGTCTTAGTCACATCGGCGCAGCTGTGATATGAAGCATTTATCAAAGGAGTTATTACTAAAAATATAAATCTATGTATTTTCAAGCTTTTTGCAGGCTAAATGAAAAACGTTTTTGGAGAAATTACTTTTATCGTGTTTCACTAGTGCGACAAGCAGCGCTGGGAGAGAATTGTTCACCTGTTCCAGAAGTTCCTGTTTCTTCAAAATCTGTTGAACAAGATGAAAATGTAAAATCGTCCAGCTTAGAAGACAAAGAAGCCGAAGAGAAAAAATTAGAAATAAACAAAAGAGATGAACTTTCAAAAACTAGCACGAAAGAGCAAAACGAAACTGAAAATGAAGACAGTGAAACGAAGAATAAAAAGCTGAATGAAATTCGTGAAAATATTGCTAATGCTACACAAGAAAGTTTGTTTCCGTCGATTTTTTGGTTTTAATTTTTTTTTTTTTTTTTGTTAGCTTTCAGTAAAAACTAACCTCGAAAAGAGATTAATCGTCACATTTCCATTTAATCTACACATTACTCTTTACGATTTATGCTATCCTTCCCGTACGCGACGTATGTTTTTAGCTTATGTAAATCATGTTCTTTCAGTTACTCCAGTGGACGTTATGTTCGCATCTTGAAGAAATATCAATATGTCTTATTTTCACGTTATGTTTAAAAGCTATTTTTTTCTTTTTTTTTTTTTCAGAGATTGGAGAAGACTTGGAGCGAGATTTGATAAATTCTCTGAATGATTATGAACTAGTAAGCGGTCAAATGGATAGAACAGATGAACAATGGGAAGAGGAAATAACTGAATTACTTAATTCAGCATGAAGAAAATGATCGCATTTTTTAATTTCTTTGAGCTAATCCTATTCGGTTTATTTAAAACATCTCCATGCGGTATTTTATAACCGTATACTATTTGTCAACTTCATTTTAAATTCCTCGTTTTTTTTTTTTTTTTTTCATGTGTATTTTGGAAAACACCAATTTCCTGTGCAAGTGAAAAGGAGGTTTTGAATTGTATTCATAATATTCATCATCTGTTCATTTTTCCCCAAATAAGTTTATATTTCTGTGTAAAAGCTTCATACTTGAAGTCTAAAATTATTATTTCTTATACGAGCAATGATAATTATTATTTAAATCTGAAATATGCTTTCGATGTTTCATGTACATATTTTCCCAAGGCTCTGCCACTTCATTTGAAAGAGAACAGTAGTTTTTTTTTCTAACAGATTATTCCCACTCCCTTTTTCTCAGAACCAATAAATGAGAGAAGTAAAAAAGTTAAGTAAGGCAAACAAATTTTTGAGTTGCAAGTCATTCGAAGCCATGAGCTGGTCTCTCTAAGCTTTCATTACTACAAATTTGTAACAACATCATTTGTTCTTATATATCTTAATCCAGTTAAAATCTAGCTGCACAAGTTATGTGGTAGCTTTGTACATAAACTCTCTTCTTCACCCAACATAAATTTGAGTAAACCTGCTATTTGACGAATTTCCATAAGCATTTATTTAAATCAAGAGTTGAAAAGCACCCAGTTAACTACTAGAGAATATATTCTTACGCCAACTTACAAAATTCCAACAAAAGTTTCCACTTAGTTCCCATGACGTATCAATCATACTGTTTAATAACATTTTACCCTGGATCACAATGATTTGTCTACCTGTACCAATTCGCAACACAGTGGATTAATAGATAAGAGATATCTATTTTTATTAGTTGATAAAATCACCAGTGACAGATTTGTCTTTTCCAAGTCAACTAATCATCCTTCATCACGACAACAAGCTAACAGTAACACCTGCAACAGCCCATTGTTATTGATCCTCTATCCTCCTCTAACCAATCATGTTTACTATTTCCCTCCTGCCACCCTAACGTAATCACATGTATGCATGTGTATGTGTGTCTGTGTCTGTATGTGTGTGCGTGCATGTACATGTTATACATGTGTATGTATGTATGTGTGCATATATATACATATGTATGTATGTGTATACGTATGCTATTTTTTCAGCGAAATTGTGATGCAAGCTGAAGCCGTGTTTTGATATTTTCTCTTGTCATCTACCCTCAACTAAACTACCCACCTACTCATCCATCTACCTACCCAGAGAAAATGATAAGTAAAATTCATGTGAGGGTGCATCGGGTGGTTAGGGACATATCAGTCAGTCCTCCCGCACTGCTTGTTTTTATTTACAACTTGGAAGGCAGACAGCTTCACTATACCACCTACCTGCTTCGAATTATTTTTTGAATAAAAAAGTTTGCTTTTCGCTGGGTTGTTTTGATTACTAAACGATGTACCTGTATAGATGTGTGCGTCTGTCTGACTGTCTCTGTGTGTCCTCAACTTTTATGTTGCCTAGAAATGGAAAATGATATCTGTTTGATATTGCAATCTCGCTCTTTTAACCAGTCAGGCTAGTCCCATGGCATTTCTGGGATGGAATACATCTTGAAGATATTTCATGGAATAAATCATTGACGATAATTCAAAATTTTCTTCTTATACATTTCAAATGTTGGTAAGACAGTTTCCGTTAGTTAATTATTTAATTAACTTGCTGTCATAGTGATCTGTACTGAGTAAAATACGATGAGTTCATTAGTTCAGTCTTCCGTTCCTACTATGGACATGATGTGATAAACAGTCGTTTTTTGTTTGCTAAATATTATTGCACTAAATTTTGGGAGTTTATTTTTTTCCTTTTCAGAATTTCAAAAAAGGAATTCGGAAAGCGGTATAGTTCATCAGTGGTGCATCGATCTAATATTTGCTCCCGTTTTACGGGATTTTTAAAAGCTAAGATCAGTTCTATTCTTGTGGTCAAGAAAAGTTATGGTTAGTTTTGATTTGATCAAGTTTTTTTGTTTCTCTTTAACAGCAACATTATTATTCCCAATAGCTTAATTTTTAGTGGTGAATGTCCTTTGCAAACAGCAAAGGACATTCCGGTTTTTAGTGGATGCTTGTCAGTTTTGTCCTCCAATAGCCCCTCTATTTTCTGTTAGAAGACAAATAATTAGAATCCTATTACTATGTTTAATTTATCTGCTTTTTACCTGAACCAAATGCTGTCTTTTCCTCTTCAGAATTGTGACAGTCTTCAAATAACACTCAATACTTTTACACTTCCCTTAACGCTACTTTTCGTTTACTTCCAATATTGGCTACTCCCTTTACGTTGAGAAATTGAATTTCTACAGTTTGAGTTAAAGAAATTTTTTTACATTTTTGTCAATATTTTATCTTGTTAGCCTATTAAAAAAACATCACATTGATGTTTTTTTTTCTGTACTTCGTCTTACAATATTAAAAATAGCGAAATGCAAGTATTTTTACTTTGTTATTTGTGTCTCTCCCATGATGACAATAATGTTTGGAGGTCTTTTTTTCTTTGCATTTGTACAGTTAAGCAAGTTGTTTTTGATAATAGGCAACTTTATTTTTGTTATTAATTGCTTTCTGTAATTGACATTCTTGGCTTGTAAGGAATTGTATTTCTGAAAAAGGGAACAACAACCAGAATTGTTAGCTAGCTGTTTATTTAACAAAAAAGGAAAAGAAATCTTATGAGTGGAATGTTTTCGTTCAAATGAATTGGCATTTTCCGGAATGTATAAGGAAGGGGATTTTTTTGTCTTAACAATTGAATAGCCAGTTTGTTATCATAAATGAATGACATTTTATCAATTTTTCTTTAAAGCTTCGAGTCACTTGTCCTATCAGACGAATTCAAAAAAAAAAAAAAAAAAATTCAAGATCTTTATTACAAAATATGATGTGGATTGAAAGTTCATCGCATAATCGATGACATTATCGCCTTTCGCTTACTTGCCATCTATAAACTTATCGGCAAATAACCATCTCTACAGAATTTCTTCTCATAACCTCTTATTAATAATCATCATTCAGCAATCGTTATAATTGCTTTTATTTTCTTTTGGAGAGTTAAAATTGAATAAAAATTTGAACAGTATCCTATAATAATGGAATAAAAATGTAATTCTGCCTCTGTTGATCAATACTCATTGATATGTCATATGCTGCTAAGTTCTATATTCCAATCTGAATTGAGTCTAGTAATATTAGTATTCTTAAGGATGTGAGAGTATTTCATTTACAAAATAATTCTTCAATCCTATTCTTCTCCAAATCGCATAAATGATAAACAAAAGTCTACTGATAAGCAAAAGTTCATGCTTCACGATATCATGCATAAACACATTAATATGAATATCTCTACTATTCGTTCATATAAAGATTTCATAATTGTTTTGAATATTTATATATTTGTTAAACAAGAGTATTAAGAGTATTTTTGAATTCATTAAGAATTTAGGATTGGCGGTTGTAATTCGGATGATGTAAACATATTCACATGACACATAAGGAAAACAAGGAAGCCTACAACCATATAAATAATGCAGAGATAGGACGAGAGAGAGAGAGAGGGAAAGCTCTTTGATTTAGTTCAGTTTGATTTGGAGTAAATTTTGTTGAAGAAAGCAACATCACCCATATTCAATAACATGATTTTAATCGTTTGCTGGGTTAGTTGTTGATAACTTAAGGATCTCATATTTTCATCTCTGGTCTTAATATTGCAAAATAAAAGTAAACGAAAGTTGGTTAGTAAGAAAATGGGCTGTTAAGAAATGGGGAAACAACTATAAGAGCAGCTAACGGATGAATGTCATCGTCAGGGAAAGATGAAGGAAGGAAGTGGTTAGGCTGCAGCACTCCTTTCTACCATGTTAATCTGTCTGTTTGTACCTTATCATCCGTATTCAATACACCAAACAGGTGGCGAAAGATTCAGCGCATTTTGTCTACTACTTTTAGTTAAATTTCTAAATGAAAATTATTGAACTGTACTGAATGAGGAAGTTTCGATTACCTTATGAGAAAAGATTAGTTTGAATGAAACTAAAATTTTCTGCTGTACATACATGTTGTAGATACGTGTTTATCAAATGCTAACAGTAAAAATCTATTTGCATTCAGCTTTTTTTTTTTTGTTTTTTTCTGATACTTGAAGATAATTTATTTGTAGGTTTTCGAAACGCCAGAAACGGAATTTCGAAATCGAATTGGTTCACGTGAGGAGAAAGCGATCGTACGGGAAGGCTCCATTGGTAACGATTCGAAAATACGCTCCGCCTTGACAAGCGTTTTGGCAAAAAAAAATGGCGAAAAATATAACTTTTTTGAAGATGAACAAGTGAGAATCCATATGCTCACTCAAAAAGCAGTCAACAGCACGCTATATGGAATAAAGATGATAATATTAGATTCGAACAATTGAAAAAATGCCCAGAGATGATCTTTTGTTGATTGCTCTCAAAAATTAGTTAAAATAAGTTTACCTGTAAATTCTAGCAGTTATCTGAAATTAGAACGATTTTATCAGTATAGCGTTTTCTGCTGGAACAGATTTATGTAGTGAAATGCTAACTGCTCATATTGCTTTTCTGCTTTAATTGATAATTGCTAGCAAGGAGGGTTTGCGCTTTTTAAAGGATTCGCTTGTCCATTTAGAAATGAAAATAACAAGAAAAAAAGCCTATATAAATAAGTGGTGGGAAATTGTTGGACAAAGCTATATGTTGCAGAACTTACATAAAATGTGATATACGCGCATCATTTTTTTGAAAGAATTGAACTTATCTTGTTTCATACCTCTGTGATAGTATATACTCCATTGTTTCACCAACTTACCACATAGTGTCAGTTGGTGAAACATAGTGACCATAGTGACCAGTTGAAGTTTCGATTAACATGTCTAATGTATATGAGATACAGTGATGTTTTATGACAGCTTACTAGTGCAGTTTTTCAAAACGTCAGCTATTGCATTGCAGGTGCGAAAAACGGGTTCAATTTTCGAAAGGCGGAAGGATATGCAATATGTCAAAGAGGCATTACCACGTGCACGCTTAAATGGTTTTCATATAAAGGTTTAAATTTATTTTTCGATTTTGATTTGTTTTCTCTCTTTATATTGATATTTTAGAAAGATATTTTTGTACAATTATGATGAACTTTGCTGATAAATGAATGAGGTTTAAATTAATTTTATATCATTCAGTAAATTGTTTCAAGATGGTTTGGTTATTTGACATAAGTAAAATTGCTAGGTTTATTTTGATAAAGACAACAAACAAAAAGTAATTGGGTGGAAGAATTTAGAATAGCTCTAATAAATTAAATTTTAGATGGAAGATGACTGTCCGCAAGGTGGCGATGATACAAGGTTATCCGTACTTCGTGCTCTCGGAACGCACAACTGTCGAACAGTACCGTGCGTTCTTTGTGAGCGAAATTTAGTTGTTTACGACAGATATCCGCTCATCGATGGTACCTTCTTTCTTTCGCCAGTACAACACTCCAAAGCTGCAGTTAACATGAAATTTGAGTCCAAGCAAGTTTGCATTTCTTCACCTCAGATCTTCTCCACTCTATTATAATCTTCGTATCGTTGTCTGTTATATACTTCGTAACTACTCTGTTGTGCACTTCGTGAGTTATCCAATTCTTCAGTGACCAAATGCTTTCTTTGGTAACATTTTGACTGTATTTTTTCTAAAACTCTGAACTGTACTGATTTTGGAGTTAATTTCCCAAAATTAGTACAATGCAAATGAACGGTTTTTCATTTTAGACTTCTTGCTGAATCAAATGTATTTATTCTGTGACTTTCGAAGTAGGCCAAAAAAGGAATTTTCATTTCAGGACTGGTTATTTGCATGCAATTTGCATCACATGCATGCACACCGAGTGGAAATGTCCCGGTTGTGGTAACAGTGGATGGTTTCTTGGTTCGGCGTTAATTGTAGGAACACTGTACACTTACGACGTTTTGTCAAGTACCATTTGTTGTATACCAGTTTGCAGACATTGTCGTGCACTGTCGCTTATATGTACATAACATGCAAAAGAGTATAAATATTAGGAGCAGTATGAAACAAATAATATTTTGTTATGCATTGTTGATATGCTGTTTGTATTTTTAGATTTTCGTGTTTTTTGTGTTTTTGCATTCTAAAGAAATTCTCCAAGTGATAGCAAATTTAGGATTCTGTCACTCTTGTAGTGAAGTTGGATTCAGTTTTTTTTTCTTTATTGAAGTTTTTCATATAAATGATACTTTGAATTTGCTAGAGTCATAATAAGAAGTAACACTGTTTGAGGAAACTGATTGTTATGAATAGGTAAATGAATTTAAAGGCCACCTATAAAATTAAGAAATACTGTACTGGTCATTACTAACAACTGTTAGATTACTTTTAATTATTAATATATAGCAGTTACTTATTACCTTTTTTAAAAAAGTGGGAACGACAGTATCTGTAATTATTTATCTATAGTGTTAAGCAATGAAATGAGAAGTTTGAGAAATTAAATTTTATGGATATGCATAAAACAAAACTTTAGCAAGCATACCTCATTAATTTCTTCTACCTCAAATTGTTATTGTATCATAATTTCTTTTATATTTGCTTGTAGTGTTTTTGGGATAATAAATCCCGACAAAGTATTTTTAGGATAGTTTATTCTCCATTTCCTGATTTCGTTTTTTTTTTTCTTTTTCTCAACCAGAATGGCAGGAATTGATTTACATTGTACTTAATTCCAACTCTTAAATTTAGTTTTTGCTTTTTTTTGTATGTACGCATCAAATTTTTTCACTTATTTCTTTATTTCCTACACACATTAATTGTATATAAAAAGTTATTACTATAATACTTGAAGAAAATTTCGAAAATTACAGGCCTTATTGCTGAATCTTGTAATACATAGGCGCTGATGTAAATATTGTATATTTAATAAATCAGAATGACTACTGGTCTTGAACTATTTACTTTGTTATAAAATTGCAGTTGTCACAGTTCTATCATTTGCCGTAACAGCTGATAGTGCTTTATGTACATTAGTCACTTTTCTGATCCCTATTACCTGATCCAGAGATAAGATTGGATCGCAAAGAGTGACTAAATTTGATTTTACCTGATCACACGTTGATATCAGTTGTGACATGGTTGAGTTGCATCATTCAGCATTGTGAAGTATTTTTGCTAATCCAGTAATACTATGAAGATGGCTTGACTTGGAACCAAGCTGTAAAACAAATCGATATTTGGGGAAGAAAACACTTGAAGAACGTCGTTCTTCCGATATTTATCGTTTGATTTTCTATCACAGGTTTTGGTAAGAACTTTTTTGTTTGTAACAGATTGCAAATTTTACAGCATTCATTGAGTTAGTAATGAATTTTATATAAACCTGATAAGAAGTAAGGGAGACGGGTTCAAATGAATTAAAGGAAGATCGTCATTATTGACTATCGTACTATAAGATCTGGTAATGGTCATACTGTCGTCATATTATTCCTAATCATTAACACATTTCAGCACCGATCATTCTTTTCAAAAAAAGAAAAGTGAAAATGACGGTGTTCGTAATTACCTTTTCCACTTTGTCGAACAAAGATCGAACATCGATGACTACTGTGACTCTTAAATTAAGTACAAATACGCTTTTTTAAACAGGAATGCATTAGACAGTATGACTTATTTCTTCAAATTATTGCATTTGTCTACTTATATTTCAAAAAATTATGGAAAAAAGGCACAGTTTGTTTACTCCGAGTTATACTTCGTCATATTATTCCTAATCATTCCTAATCACAATCATTCCGGTAAGTATAATATGTATAAATCTGGTAACTGATCTGATTAAGTTAATGAAAATGTTGCAGATGAATAAACTATATCTGATATTTGTGCACTCTCATGAAACGAAAAACGTCCGTGGATGTTATTTACATTTGCACAAATTCTGATGAAATACAAAAGAAATTTGCATTATGTAGAGATTACAGTAAGCTGGCTCTTTTTCTATAATGTTTATGATAATGTATGTTTCATTATATATATTTGAAATTTAACAATTGTAAAATGAGAGCAAAAAGTAGAATTCCTAATTTATTCTTATTTAAACTTGAGCAACTGATTATTATTATTCGATATGAGTATTTTATATGAATATCGTTTAATATTTTCACTTTATAAATCGATAATCTTGTTCCTGATTTAACAGAATTTTCTACTCAAATACATTGAACAAAGATATTTTACGTTAGAGCTTTTTCTTAGTTATGAACTTTGACCTATCTAGAGTTTTGATAATATAGTCAAGGAAGATATTAATATGATGATATCTAAATAGACTCGTGTTGCTCCCAAATAACCCCGATAAATAATCGCATTGGATCAAATTCATGAAATAAGGGAGAACTAAGAAGGTTAGGAGGATAAGCAGTTCGTGGCCGACCTCCTGCTGTGATCCTCATGTAATCATCTTTCACCTTTCAATCCCTCATCATTATATTGTTCGCCTTTCAACCAGTAGTCATGATTTGTCACAACTTCATCCAAATCATTCTGTCACTCATAAATTTAAATTTCTCAAAAAATTTCTTGTTGAATTGATGTTCATTCCTTTTCGATATTTTGTGTTTGATAAATTCAGTTGTTACATCATATCATATGGGTCAGCAAATAATCATATATAATAACAACGCAATGATTTATTGCATGAATTTAACACTTTGGAGTTTCTGAGTCCCTTATTTCATATAAATGATTGATGACAAAGTGATCAGGAAGAAAGTGATAAAACATTTGATCATTGAGCTTAAAAGGAGCGGTTGCACACAAACATTTATATAACCTTTTTAAGATCTAATAACATGTATTATAAAAACTTAATTTGTGTTTTTGAATTTAGATGGTCATCTGGCCTAATAGTTAAAAGAAAAGTGTCATACATTAGCAAAAAAAGATCGAATACATCCAGATAGGAAAGCTGATCAAAAAAAAAAAGTCGACTTTCTACGTGTAACAAACATAAATCATCCTCTCTACTTTTATGTTTCTCATACGAATTTCATCAGCCATTCAATGATATATTCTCAATAAATGTTTACCAAAATGTTTACTGTATGTGTTGAACATTTGTCATTCTGAAAGAAAGGTACCATTAGTATTTGATGTTAGAACAATAGGATTTGCATGTTGTGTGGACAGTGTGCCATTGAATAAACACAGCAATAATCCTGTGGTGACGCTTAAGTAAATAAATTTACGTACATACTGATAGGTAAGATTTTCTTTTTTTTTTTTTGAGAAAAAAAGTAAACGAAAAGTACACGGTGTTGCATGCAAAAATGACTTACAGTTGCAAATTTGCATGCAGTACGGGGTTGAATGTATTGCATGGCGAAGAAAGGATGTTAATGAATAAGCAAGAATTTTAGCTTGCGACAATACAAAATGAAAGGAACAAACTATTGCAGTGTTGACTTTCAATTTATTGAACTTCTCGAAATGTTTCGAAAATAAATTTAACTTAAAACTTTTGGAAGCGCTTTACGACACTCTTCCATTATCTTTCATCTATTTATGGGAATAAGTATGAAATGAATTAGTATGAAGTGATGAATACATTATGAGATTATTAAACTCTGAATTAACAGAAAAATGAATAAATGGATGGATTTGATACAATTTAACAGAAAAAAGAAAAATGTACTAGTGCAAAATCAAAAGAAATTAAGAGAATGAGAAGTAAAGACTTGGCGTATTTAGATTATAAAAGAATTCCGGATTTCAAGTAATCAAAGATGAGATAATCAGGAAAGTTTTAGTTGGTATCATATACTACTAAACGAAATGCAACCCGATTCCATCTTTGTTTTTTCTTTTCTGTTTCTTTCAGAGTTTCTTCTAAGGTGGTCGGGTTGGTGATGATGACGATGATGATGATGATGATGATGATAATGATGATGATGATGTTGATGATGATGATGATGATGATGATAATAATAATAATAATGATGATGATGATGATGATGATGATAATGATGGTGATGATGTTGATGATGATGATGATGATAATAATAATAATGATGATGATGATGATGATGATGATGATGGAACGGAGCATTGATGTTTCTTCTACTGCTAGATGATGTTTATATTAGCCAATCTGGAGCTTTTTTCAATTCTCACTATTTTTGTTGCGTATTTTTGTGAGATTTCGAGACGATAAGCATCCACCAGGTGACGCCAGACCACTCCTTTTCGTTGCTTCTATGAAACCAAATAATCATTTTCTATTCACTTATGAAAAAGAAGAAAATCATTTCTCTTTCTCTTCTTGCTATATATATTTTATAAATTTCAAACATTTTTGTGGCTCATTTCCTTTACTCCAAAAAAATATTGTGTTTGTTGACAAAAGGAAAAAATTTAGTTTAGACCTTTATTTTTATCGAATTGAAAAATTCTGATTTTAAAATGTTTTCGATTTAAAGTGAATTTTGGAACAGAATTTTTCACATTTTGCAAATGTATTCGTATTCCATTCGCATTAATTGTCAATTTCAAATTATTCAATTAAACGATCTACCTTAGAAAATAAAATTATAAGGATTTCAGATTAGAAAAATGCAAATGTATTCTCTTTCAATTCATCACTTGAACGAACAATTATTTTTTGATGATTATTGATGACTTCTTAAAAATAAAAATAAATTTTGAGATTGTTGAAACTGGAGTCATTTTAGACTGTTATCAGTGTCAACATAATGATTGCCTAATGAGTATGAGTACCACATGACAACAGGTAACAAATGAACATTTGAATTATGAGCTATTTGACAGGTGGAAAGGTTGTTTTAGATTGTAAGGAAACGAGGTGGAAAGGAGGACATATCCTTGAAAAGTCAATGTTCTTCTGATCTATTTGGGGTCCCATTTTTCGCTTTTCTCCTCATCATCACCCATTAATAATCGTTCATGCGCGAAAATTTGAGCAATAGTAATAATAATTGGTGGGAAGGAGTAGGTAAGACTTCCTTCTATATCCTTATTCATCAGCTGAGACTACTTACACTAATTAGCTGAATGATGTGCGCAACAATTTCAATAGATTTTTATTGAAGTGAATCATTTCGCATCCACGGCATCAGCCAATATCGTATATCGTTCATTCTTTCACTAAAGGAATTATAACTGTGTGACAGTTTAGCACCAAGATTTTGTACTTTACTTCAAAGTAGAAATAAATGAAAGTAATTTTTTTGATTTGAAATTTTATATTGATCTAATAGCATCGCCTGTATCAGTACTGCACCATAATTATCTATTTCAATGTTCACAACAAAAATTAAATTTTCAAGTAGAACGATAAATAAGCTGCATTAATTATCACCAACATTAATTAGTACTATCACTAAAATAGTATTTATGATCAGTTCATCTACCAACATTTATCATTACTTCTAAGTCAATGATAATGCAGCAAACATTATTGTTACTGTTAATGCAATTGAAATCAATATTATGGTTTCCATTATTGTAATTTTCATTGTTATCATAGCAAATGAAATCGCAGTATAATTCATACATTTCTTTTATGATAAATGATATATGAAATGCGAAATAATATTAATGAATTACTGTTAAAGTCAAAAAGAATCAAGCAACACACTGATTTGGCAGCCAAAATTGTTAGATAAGCAAAATACAATTAGCACATAAATTTAAATTTAAACTGATAATATCATACTCATTTCAATTTTACATCTTATTTACCTGCTTGATTTGTACATGTGCTTATTATACCATAAGACTAATGACTAAACACATCCCGAAATTTATGTTAATTTAAATATTGTATTAAATAATGCATGTATGAATAAGAAAAAAAAATGCTTAAATTATTAGCATTTTTCAAAAAAAAAACAATGGTACGAAAATGAGTAAATAGATATTTAGGTCCGTTGCTTTTTTCTTTATATAATCTTATCGAATGACAAATAACAGAATCAGTTGGTTAGCAACACGTTAACAAAATGTTGAACTCTATAGATGAAAAAAAAGAGTTATATTTATGGATGTTCCTTTTTTATAAATTGCAACAGATATTCATTCATCATTGCTAGGAGAGCGTTGTCATGCAATAATACTGATGACATTCCCCAAAATCCAATATCCTTTTGAAATTATCATTGGACTGAAGATTTTGCTACATGTTATAACAATTTTTGTTAGACTTATTTAATTATAAGATTTGTTCAAACTAGAAAAAAAAGTTTTTGACTGGATTCAATATTTTACTTCTATTTACTTCCCAACTTAAATACGATTTAATTCTTATTTAAAATTAGCTCTTTTGTGCTATGAAAAGTATCATTATGGAACATATTACGTATACAGTTAACATTTTAAGAACTCAGAGAAAATTTAAAAATACATTAAACACATATTCGTTATTGACTTCATTAGTGAAAGATAGTTTGAAAATAGTCACACAAATGACAAAGTTATTAGTTACACAAATGACAAAGTTATTAATTGTCTTTATCATGTAATTATATCCTTTGGAAAAGATTTAAAATTCGGATTTAGTCTTATAAAGAAAAGATTTCATTTAGTGTATTAAAAAATGTTTTTATCTTAACATTAAATTAGCTTTATAACTATCAAAATGGGACAAAAATGCATAAATTTTGTTATCTTAAACTTGTTTAACTTAGCTTTTCATTAATTGGAACTTTATTCCTAAATGAGTATTTGAAATGCTCTTTTTATCAACGGCACATGAATTTTACCATTGTCTTCGAACGGCCATACAAATCAAATAAGTTTGTTTTTCCATTGATTATATCTCATAACATCAATCGATTTCTAAAAAAAGTATTTCCTTCTCTTAGTTTAGTTTTTATTGCATAAATGTTTGAAATACTGATGAAATGTTTTGTTTTATATGTTTAGATGAAATTCCATCTACGGTCCGTTTGAATTATGTCAAATTCTTTTCCTTTGCCAATCTTTTGTCACGACAGTACATGAAATTATCAGTGATGGAAGGTCATTTAACGTCTTAATTTATTAATTCATTGGAAAACTATTTCTAATATGATTTACATTAAATAAAGTACTGTATTAGTGATAAGGGATAATTGCATGACTCAATTAATCTTCATATAACTTTATCACAAAAATTGGTGATAAATTGTTGATTTAAACAAATGCCTCCGTTCTATACACTTCCTTTTGTGATTTGCAATCAGCGACAAAGCTGCCTTTGATCAGTTAACCATTAAAATGGTTCCGTTCTGCTTACAATCTTAACAAACAGATAAATCAGGTGTAATTCAAGTTCTTCTAAATCGCAGAGTCCCTTAGTCGCAGGTTGCATTGTCACTTCCATCTTATCAGTAAAAAGCTTATCTTAATCTCTTATCTTAACCGCATTATAATCAAATTTCTACTAAACTAATACCAGACAGACTTTGCATACACTAAAAATGAATGAATGAGTGACAGTCACCATCGTTGTCGCAGTTGCTGTCGCAAGTCGCTATCATCGATGATGTCGCGTTGTTTCTTCATCATAATCATTAGTGGGAGGAGTGGAGCAAGCTGAGAATCAATCCTACCTGCCTAACTATCTAACTACCGTATCCCGCAGAACCGATCAGAGGGTGGGACCTCGATGGTGGTTAGAAAAGGAAGGGCAGGGCATAGCTTCTCTTCCTCAATTCCGATTCTCTCTGCTAGTGCTCCGGCGATTTTTGTGATATTGTGTTGCTTGCTGTTAATGTTGACTCAAGTGTTCATCTAAATTCCTGAAATCATTATTCTATCATTCAACGCCTTTTTTTTTTTCATTGTCTCAACTTTTAATTTAAATTTCTTTTCAAATATTTATTATCCAGCACTGTTCTGAATTCCGGTAACCTTCACAAAATCCTTTTCGAAATTCTAACAATTAAGAATCATTTTAATTTCGTAATTCTCTTCATAGAATTCTAAGCCAAGCATTATTCTTACTTAATTGGAGTGAAATCAATCGTTAAAAAGAGTTGGATCACTGTACATTCTGTTAATAATTACTACTTCTTAAAACAGCTTGCAATCCTTTTTCTTTATGTGATTTTCTCATAACCTTTTCTTGACCTCTCCTATTAAGTCAGGTAAAAATGATATGCTTTATTTCTGATTGTAACGTTTTTTTTTTCTTTTTTGTTTCAGTTTTCTAAATTTGGATTATAGCTTGGATAAAACTTAAAAGTTTTCGAGCCTTATGTTCAAAAGTTTTAATTTCAGGTTGATACCATCGACAACTACCAATAATCTTGGGGTGAAGCAGAAGAAATACATTATTAGCAAATCAGTGGAACTTCTGAGCTCACAATTTATTCACTTACGGGGTCATTCTGAATTGCTTCAATAATTTTATTTAACTAACTCTTTCATTCTGGATTTCTTTTCGTACTATTCCCATTGTGAATCCATTTTGGACACTTTCTATATCTGTTGGCGCAAAAAGAAACAAAGCAATAACAGTGGAAGTGAGGCAAACTGGCCACAAATCTAATTGCTTTCCGCGGTATTTTTCAACGTTGTGATACTCAACATCAGCACCAACCTGAACAAAGTATCAGAATAACGCAGCCACAAAAAGTACCACATCAACCACAGCAATTGCAACAAGGAGCTACTGTAGGCGGCAATAGTCGTAACAGTAGCAGTAGCAATAATAATACTAATAGTACCAGTAGCGGTAGTGGTGGTGGCGGTAGTGGTGGTGGTGGTGGTGGTGGTGGCGGTGGCAGTGCCGGTCATTCGGGCTTCTCTTCTGGCTCAGGTGATAAAGAAATACCTACGACATCTTCTGCTGCAGTAGCGACAGTTCCTGCTATCGACTACTCGGACTGCATTATGTATGACCAGCATCCATCTATTGCTGATTCTTACTCATTAGTTGTTGCCACATCAGCTGATACTAATAGTACCAGTAATGGCAACACGACAATTGGAAAGATCGACAGTGGCTTAGAAACTCAATTAAGTTAGTTTCTCTTGAAACTTCACTTTTTATTTTATCTCATATTTTAATATCAAAAATAATATCACCTTCTATGAATAATCAGCAGGTGTTCTCTTAAACCTATCGATATTTTGGTTTTATATTGATAACAGTTGTATTAGCTTTGTAAAAGAAACTTAATTTAGTCAACAAACCAATTGCTTGTTCCAAATTACTAAGATCGGACTGTAAGATTGCCAGAAGTTTTATGACACAAGTCTCTGTTTGCCTCAGTTTCTTTTATCTACTATCAATCTAAATCTTATTTACCTATTATCAACTTCCTCGTTTTAAAGAAAGAAGTGCCTGTATATGAATTTGTAAATTTCGATATGGCAGCAAAAATAGATCTTTAATCATCAAATATTTGTTTTAATAAATGAAGAGAGAGAGAGAGAGGTGCGTTTTTATTCACAACCTTTGAAAAATTCAACAATCTTTTATATAAAAGGTACCACGTGAAGTTAATTTTCAAATAATTACTTCCCAATATTCATGAAGTGATATATTTGATTGTAGAAATTAATGTCATTGAGGTTGCATTGGCAGTGATTTTTTTCAAAAAGCAAAATAAGAAATTTTCTAGTCTTTTCAAACGGATTTTTGTCGTAACCATACTTTTTATCATTATCACTTCCTTCTTGAAAAAGAAAAAAAACAAATTTTCATTTTAAAAGATAATTTGTTCAACATCAATTGAAGTCAGCTTCTTCCGCAATTCTAATTTCACCACATTCGATTTTAGTTTCTTCTTTCACTTATCAAGTTATTGATCTGAAAAAATTTAGCTTTTTTTGAAAAAAAATAAAGTACTAAAATTTTTTTTTCCCTGATTTTTCTTATTATTTATTAAAAAAGAAAAAACAGTAGGCTATTGTTATGTTCAAAGATACATTCTAATAACAAAACTCTAATAAGAGAAAATGAAATTTAAATTCAGCGTTTCTCGATTATTTTTCCACTAGTTACGATAGATTAAAGTGAAAGTTTAGAGTAACTGAACTAAGTATAACTTTGATTTCCCCAATGTATCATTTCATACCTTCTTTAAGAAATGCAAAAGGAGAAAACCATAAAATGCACTAAACGGGAGGACAAATGCATTCAGATATGACAACCGGCTTACCATTTTAACCGTCTATTCCTTTTCATCTCTGATTGAGCCAATATTTGCATAATTACTTATGTTCAATGTCAGGGTACAGTGGAATAGTATCACTACGTTTTTGTCGTATTTCATCAATTCATGTTGTTTTCAACTTGACAATCAGGAAATTGCTTAATTTGGTAAGAGACAATCTTATTGAGCTACAATTTTTCAGGAAAATGAATTTATGAAGTAAGTGCAGAAACATTCATCCCTCGTACAGCTTTACTATGTCATGATAGACTGGGTAACTTGTCTCACTAAACTGTAAAGAATTAGCTAGTCCATGAACAACCCTCAAAGGTTTAAATATTAGAATTCATTGAAACATAAAAGTCTTCGATTTAGCTAATTTTGTGCACATTGAAAAGGATAGAGCTGGTAATTGAGTGTAGTATTTTAGAAGGTCATTTGAAGCCCATTAAAAATAGAACCCAAAAGTGGCACTTTAATCTTGGCCAATAATTTTAGAAAAAACATCTGGTTCCAACCATGATTGATTTATGGAAGTGTTAATTAGGGTTTTAAATTCACTAACTTCTACTGTTTGCACTAAATCTTTAAATTGTAATTCAAAATGAGTCTCCTAAATATTAATTGATTTCGTTGTCATCGCTAAGAAATACATACATTGATTGGAGATTTCTTTTTAAATATTATTATTTGAATTATTCTGCTATTTTCCACTTCATACATAATTTAATCAATTTAAACCATTTTATAAGTCACTTTTCCGTGATCTGTATCATATCAAACAGATTCGCCTCATCGCTGCATATGCACTGAATCATTTGCATGTTAATTTCATTGCATCACTGTATCAACATTCCCTGTCTCATATCAATAACTGTAACTCTTTGTAACTAAAATCAGTAAAATATCATTAGTTGAAGCTAGAATTATAAATTCCAAAAATCCAATAGCTACAAGCAATTGGCAGTTTTTCCCATTGCTAATCGCTTGAACTAAATAAAAGCTATATTATAATGAATAATTCGCAGGATCAGAGGGGCAGAGGCAGCAACAGCAAGGATGTCGATTGTGTATCGGATGCTTGCAAGGTATGGCTTCGAGCTCACATAAAATTCATGAATTTTTTATTTTAAATAATCCAACAGTTTGAGAATTTAAAATAGTCCATTTCACACGCTTTCATCGATTAAACTTAGAGCATAAATCGGCGAAAACAAGCATTTCCGACCCAACTTTTTCTTTTTTTTACTTTTTCATATAAACAACAATATGTAAATTTCAAACAAAAACGAAAAAAGAAGTTCGAATTCTTGAGCAAAATTTATTTCAGAAATACGTGACCCATTTGTATTACGTGTCAGTCCGGATCTCGAATTTCACGCTGGATGTCTTAAGGTTTGTTTTAAATCATTATATGTTAACTTTAGTAAATCTCAACTACAATGTAATTCAATTAATCGAAATGATTGTAATGTGAATATTTTAAGATTTATTAAGAGGATAAACGGATAAACTGAAGTACCAATGCTTGAAAATATAATGCTAATTCTTGTTCAGGCTTAGACTCATCTTCAAGAATGATGTAACAAATGTTAAGAAATAGCTTTTATTAGTTAATTACGTAATACTTCCAAGTAGAGTTAATCTGTATAAGGTGCAAGATGGCACTTGTCGTATTTTAGGTCACATCCTATTAGTTTAGCTCGTTGCTAAACGCTGTTCTTTACCTTTTATTTACACAACGATTAACTTAATGCATCATCCGCTTGTTTGCTAATTATGCTTATAGTAATGATGATTGCATGAAATTAGATGAAGTTTGCTAAGTTAAGTATTATTAAGCTTAAAGTTAGGCGTCGAATAGTGTAGAACATTTCAATAAGTTAATCTTATTCATTTCTAATTATCTTAAATATTATTATGTTTAATATTCATTGGTGCGACTACAACATATATTCTAGTATGGAAGAAAATATTTTGGATACCACTATAAAATAAATCATTGATGTGATGTTGCGTGTTCAGTTTTAATTCTTTCATCAAATGCCCTTGATTCCACGACCTGTTCTGTCCACTGATCCACTATTAACCATTAATCTTCCGCTTCACCTGCATTGATTACCGCTTGGCCAAAAACCTTCGTATAAATATATATTAACGCATTTATTAACTCAATTCTAGCTCACTTCAGTTCAACATGCATTAGTTCTGTCAATTTCTAAAAAAAAAAAAAATAAATAAATAAAAAAAAAAATTTGCTAAGTAAAAATTTCTCTTTGTGAGGAAAAAATAAACGAGACTTGAAAATTTTAGCTAAAACAGTCGACGAAATATATGTTAAGGTTATCATTAATTAGAATAAAGAAGATTGAGACTGAAAGTTCTAATGTATCTCATAACATTCATTGAAAAGCAAGTGTAAAACTTTGCTTAAAAATAATTTCAAATGAAAAAATTTTTATTCATCTTTCTTTATTTGTTGAGAAATCTTCTGGCTTACCATATTGGGAATTACCGTAATCCTCGGCGGAGATACATTTATGATGTATGTTCCTCCTAAAGACGCACATTGCTTCGAAGTCAGTATAGAGAAAAGAGATAAACAGGTTTTTGAAAAAGGGGTAAAAGAGTGAGTTTGGCGGAAATAGGAGATGACTGGTCGGCGCTAAATTATTAAATTATCAGGAAGACTGGTGAGTGTTACTTCATCAAATTCTACTATAATTTTTAGTTTTAATGCTGGCAAACAAAATAGAAATTTATTTGCAGACATAACATCAGGGAGACATAATTCATCCTTAATTTCAAATTTTTTACTTCTTATTAGGATAAAATGCAATGTTAGCTTGTAATGCATGCAGTTGGTAGCAAATTCATCGTCTGATGATCGTGCAATTAGTAAGACTAAATTGATAAGCAAGTTAAAATAAATAAAATGGACTTACAAATAGATAAACAACCCGGAAGCAATTATGAAATAAATGTAAATGAGTATTAAGAGGCAAAAATGTATAAGACAAACGTTCGTGTCAAATTTAGAATTTGACAAGAGAAAATTCTAGTCCAAAAATTAATTCTACAAATTTGCAAAAGAAAAAAAAAGCTATGCACGAAATGCTTTGTTCACACTAATTTTGTTATAAATCAGTAGTTGGATAAATTAAGAACACTGTTGCAGTGTGAACAATGCGGATGTTATTTGGATGAAAGTTGTACAACATATATTCGAGACAATAAACCATACTGTAAAGAGGATTATATCAGGTTTGTGACCTTTGGTTTCTTATCATTAATTGAAATCATTTTTTTTTTTTTTTTTGAATTAAAGTGATGCCAAACTTACCCATTACTTTCAGTCGTACAGTTTACTCCATGAAATTAATGTGGAATACTAAGTTGTATCATTATATTCGACTTATTATTAAATTTATAAATCCAGTCATCTTTTGCTTTCTCTTGGTCCCTTCTATTTGACATTTGAGTAGTAATTAAAAAAGGAAGCCAATAAGCATTGTTGTTGAAGTGCAAAGAACATCAAATGTATTGTATCGGTGGCAGTATGTTCGGAACAGATGAGCACTTGTAAATGCCACTTGATAACTAACTCATTCCATCCTACAATGACGTATTTCCTCCACTTCAATTCCTCATTGTTTTTTTGCACACATTTATGTTCATCTTTCTTTTCCGACATCACGTAGCGTCACGTGATAAATAATTCTTCATAAAAGATGCAAGTAAAAAGATGTAATCCTACCTCATATATAAATGTGTTCAATATATTTTCATTGATCATTCAAGCATCCTCTGATTCATCATAATATAAAAAGGTAAACTCATATTTCAAACAAAAAAAAAAAAAAAAATAAAAAAAAAATGGAAACACTTTCATAAATTTTTTTTTTAAATCAGACTGAATAGCATCTAAAAAGACATTTGTATTTCTGAATGAAATCTGTAGCTGTTGTAATTTCATCCTGCAAGATGAGTAATTATCTTAATGTGTATATATCGAATAATATCCTTTACTAGGCGCTTGTGTCTTCTGTTTTAAGCTGCTGTTAATCGGTTTTTCCCATCCTGCTTTTGAGAGCTTGGAAGGAACTAATCGGTTTAATGTGTTCCTCCCAGCTTCATTCATCCCAATCTAATCGTTATTTTCAGCTTTTCTATATAAATTATGCTGTCTTTTTTCTTCTCTTGCAATTTTTCATTTTTCATTGTTTGCAATAAAAAGAAGAAACATTGATAAATTCCATGCACTTAAATATTTCTCTGATATGATAAGCTTTGTTTCCTTTAAAGAAAAATTCTTAGATTGCTTTTTCTGCTGATAGAATAAATATATGGCTTCAGTGGTTTGATTGAAGTTAAATACGTTAAGCATAAAGCTATTTCAATTCTAGACCTGTACTTTAATTAATTGCTATATACCGCATTCTTAGCTTTATAATCAATAGAATTAATTTTTTTAGATTTTAATGATTTGTTCACTTTTACGGGTACTAAATTCTTTTTTACTTAGCATTCTTGCACTACTATCATCCAGTAAAAAGTGAAGAAAAAAAATATAGATAAGCTTAGAAGTTACAAAACGGCCATCAATGTTGAAATTCTTCGCTGTTTCCATTTAGTAATTGAACATGTCAGTTATATAAATTGTTAAGCTGTCAACGTATAGTATGCTTATAGGCTAATCTATCGTAATTAATGAGATTATCTTCTTGCCCTTATCAACAATCTCCATTGATAATCATTTCTGACAGCTTGTGACGAGCAAATCCACAACGATCTTCGATACAATACATATGAATGCACCATACAACTTGTCAACAATCATTTATATATTGCATTTCAACTGAATCATATAAATTAAAATGCAAGCAACAGGGATGTTTTGGTTATTTTAAAGTTAAATTGAAATGAATAGAAAAACGAAAACAAATTAATTGTGGTGGAAGAAATGAAGAACATTTAGCTCATTTTGAATTCCAAACTAATATCACGCAGAATAGATGTCATGCAATCAGGTATGTATATATTGCAAATGTAATATTCATCTTTCTGATCCAAGCAAAATTGACCTTAGTTTCGGTCGCTCTATCTACATTAAGAGAGTGAAATATAAAATGAGTCGGCTTATTATTTCTAGTTAAATTACTCATCGTTTAAACAATTATTGATGTTATATATATTTGGATAACTATAGAAGATAATTAGTTGTACCAAACAATTAATAGTCAAAATAGTTAAGGTGATCGCATTTTCCAAGTAAGTACATACTAAAATAAGGTGATATCAATGGAAAGACGGACAATTTACTATTCAAATGATCACCACCATAAACACATCTTATTATACAATATACACCTTGTGACATTCCCTAATTGCTGTGACATCCTATTATGCAAGAGAGTTTGAGATGGCGGTATTTGTTTCTATTTGAGAAGGTGTTGTTGTCATGTCAAGCTGATTGGTATCCTCTTTTTATTTGACGACATCAATCAATTTCTCTTTCTCACGGCTCATCTAACCTTTCAACAATTTCAACTAATTGTCCATTTTTGCAATATATGAAAAAGTTTGGGAAACAATCACTTGAATTAATATAAATTCATTAAAAATCTATTCTAAAGTTTCCAGTATACTATTATCCATTATCTAAATCATATAAGATAACCTGGCAATTGTTGCAGATTATTCAACAGGTAGTAATTTAGACAAAAGAGAAATGTTGAGTTTTATCTCTACAGGATTGTTAAGATAATTATTTTAGATACTTTTCCCAGTTGATCTAAATTACAATAAGCACTTCAACTTCATCCTTTTTTTTTCACCCGGGATAAATTGGAGCAATAAGGTATTGATTGGAATCCACGGATTCAGGAGAACGGGAGAAGAGAAATATAGAACGATGGGTACTAGTTGAGAGATGGAAGGAATTATATCAACTCTCCCACGGTTTGCATTGCTCACGTTTCGCATTAAAAATTGCTATTTAGCATTATTTTAAGCGCTTGAAAGGATAGAAAGTTTTCCCGTCATGGCAATTTTTGAAATCAAATTTATGCAATTTATCGGTCACACACACACACACACACACACACACACACCTACCACTTCATTTTGGTCATTTTTCACAAAATTTACTTTAGATGTTCTTTAGAAGGTACGAACTTTTAATAACATCGTACTAAAGAAGAAATTTGTTTCGACGGTAAAAAAAATGACTTAAAATAATTTAGTTCAGTGATCATTCAAAATTTCAACATCCAAAATTACAATAACTTTCATATATGGATCAAAGAACAATGATGATTTTGGAGAAACTGTCTATGTTAAGATTTATTTAACTATTCGGTTCATCATTACTCCTCAAATTAATAACACAACAAATATCTTTGCAGTATAATAATTATAATGAAATTATATTGGAGAAAGAAAACCGAGCCATATCGTCTACTATTTTTCGTAATTTACCATTTCCTATAAGTTTAACACCAACCACATCTGATCCTTATTCAAATTATTATGCAAAAACGCAGAAGAAGCATCTAGCAGTACTACCTTTCACTGGATCATCCGTTCGTTCTTTCGTTCGTTCGTCCATTCATTCATTCAATTGGAATAATAGGTTAGAAAAAGAAAAGCCGCCTTGCATCTTCTTTCGCTCCTTTTTTCTTCCCTTTTTTTTGCTCGGCCTTTTTTTCACCTATCCACCACCACATAGTAATATAACAGAAGCAAACTTATGCACATGCCGTGAGAATTTTTATTCATATTCTTTTTTTTTTTTTTTGAAAGAGGAAAGGGAGGTACTCGAGAGCTACCGAAAATGATTCTTTCATTTATTATTGTCGCAGTGATAGTCTAATAGATGTTTCGGGGTGGAAAATTTTTGTCATTTTAATCTGTTTGCTTGTCATTATTGTCCAGAAGAGGAAGGTTTCTTGAAAAAGAGAATATTGAAGAAAGATATGAGAATGGCACAATATTGATAAAAGAAAAAATTGTTATCAGTAATAACTTTATTTATCTTCCTTTTATCAAATATTTCAGATTGTTACTAATCCTTCAAATAATATAACATGAGAATTTCACAAACTCCTTTATGCAGACACAAAATTTCAGCTGAAAAAAATTTTGAATATCTGATAAGTGTTGAAGAGAATATAAATCGACATTTCCTGTTTTTTTTGTTTTTCACTTTTAGCTGGCCGTGCGGAAGAAAGTTATAGTTACAAAGTTCTCTGAGAAGCGTGAGTTATAAATAGAATAAGAAATGTTCAAAGATTGGAAGTTTGGGTGACTTTTAGTTTTGCTTTCATTTGAGCGGAATTGGATTATAGAAGAATACCACGCAAGGAACAAAGAAAAATCAGGAGGTCAATTTTGTAAATTATTTTTCAATCAGTGAGGAAATAGTAATAGAAGGCGACTTCGTTCTGTTTAGGACGCAATCCTTACAGCAACTACAATTCTTGCGTTTTGGTGTATGCAATCTACCGAATCAGAAAAGAATATGCTCTGGAATAACAGGAAATCCATACCGATACTCTTAAGTAAACTTTCAGGAATGCTATATAATAAATCAAAGAGTTGGAAAAGGATAGATTTTGACATATTTTCCTGTCTTATTTATTTTTAATTATTGAAAGTTAATATGAGCCTATTGCACATCTCATTGCACGCGAACATCATTTATCATATACTATCTCCTAAATCGTTATTCGATATTATAAGTGAAATGTCACTGCTATTTCCCTTCATTAATCGAAGATTAACTTCCACTTTTCATTGTTTGTTGAAAACAAAAGACAATTTTATTTTTGAATGCGAACAAAGTTTCTGTCATCGCAAAAAATGAAAAAACTCGAATTATTTGTGTGAGTAATTCATAACGAAGAATGAAAAACTAACTTTAAAGAAATTCTTTGCTTATTTGATTATTTGATCACATTATTCTCACAGATCAATTGATAAACTATCTTCTTATCTATTTTCCTTTCTTTCTTTGTTCCTTTTTTTTAATTGAAAATTTTCCTTATTTTTTTCTTTATATTTTTGCAACACATATTTTTTTTTCCTGTGTAATAGAATAATAATTCAATTCATGGATGAGTTTATGCCCTCTTTAACGGAGTAATTCGAGCAGCTGCCATTTCACCTTTTTTTCCCGTTTATTTAAGGGGATGCAGTAATTCGTGGCGGTTATAAAACAAACATTTCTTGCTCAACATAAATAAACCTTTTTTCTGTAATCGATATTTTACTCTTTTTCCTTTCTTTCCTCATTTTATGTTCTTTTATTTCTATTTTTATTACTTATAGTCGAAAAAAAAAAAGAAAGAAAAACGAGAAATAGTTGCTTTATTTAAAAGAACAATTCTTTATTTCAAAAAATGATAAATTTCTCAAAAAAAAAAAAAAAAAACTTTTTAATGTGAGATAAAAGCAAAGATTATATGTATCGTGAAACTGTATAAAGCATTGCTCAAACAGTAAATTTCCAATTTTCAATCAATAATTATTCGTCATTAGTTAACTGTATAGTTTAATTAGAAGTTAACAACTTGGATAATAAAAATATAATTCTTGGAATTATATGATTTGAAAAAGGAGATGTGGAAAGAAAAAAGAAGTGCACTTGATATGATTGAAAGAATACTGCAATACTGAAAATGGAGTTTTTTTTTTTCTTATTATAAGTTCTATTATAATAAGTATTTTAAAGCATTTTAAAATTTCTCCATATAACATGAGATTTTTGTTAAGGATAACGGATGCAAAGAAATGTATTCGTTGCAAAGAATACATCTCAAAGACCGATATGGTAATGAAAATACGAACGTTAACTTATCACGCAGCATGCTTCTCATGCTCAAGTTGCGAAAAGAAGCTAACAGTTGGAGAAGAATTCGTTTTTCGAGAACGTGAAGACGATGTATTATGTCGTGTTGATTGTGATGCAACTAATATTGAGGTGAGAAGAAATGACATAACGGCTTCTTTAAGATATTAGCATGTCATATTCGTTGTAGAGATAAGATTTAAACCATTTAAGCCGTTGTAGGTTTTTTTCTTGTTTTTGTTATAATTTCTCATAAATATTATTATGCAGCAACCATCCTCAATCAAAACGGATATTTATGGACGAGAAGATGAAGATGGATGGGACGGCTCAACTTTGACAAGTCTGGATAATCAAATGTCAAGTACCCCACCACTTTCACTTCGAAGTCCTAAATCAGATGAGGTTGATGGAAAATTTTTTTCGGATATTTTAATCTTTTGTAAAATTTCCTTGCTCTGAAATGATTCCTAATAATTTCTTCTGGAATTATATATCTCATATATAGAAAAATATAGATAGATTGAACGAAGGTCAGCAGATCATATCAGAATATTTTAGTTGTGCTGTCAGTTTTGAAACGCTTAGATAGAATGTTGGGATGATACTCAAACTATACAATCTTTATTATATTGCGTTCTGTAATTCATATTTGACAATATTTTAGAAGAAAGGTAATTCTCTAATTAGTGGACAATTGATAAACTACTGTCATGAATTTCAGATTGTAACTACATTTAATAGTTCGAAATCACAATTGAAAAAGAACAAGAAGGACAAACAAGTGACTTTTTCTGTTCTTATAAGAAAAAAGATGAAATTGGAACTTTTGTGGTTTTTAAACTCATATCATGTTCTGGATGAAAAGTGTCGTAGTTTATTTTTAAAATTTCATCAAATGATTTAGTCGATTTTTGACTTTCCAGTCGACTAGAGTTCGAACGGTCCTTAACGAGAAGCAGCTAATGACCCTCAAAGCATGCTATGCGGCTAATGCTCGGCCAGATGCTATGATGAAAGAACACCTCGTCGAAATGACCGGTACTTGACTCTTTCATATTGTTTTCAATATTACTGCTTACTTCAAATTAGCTCTTATCATTTGTGAAGAAGTGACTAATGGATAACATCAATTTTAAGTATGCAAAATAATCAGCAATACATTTTGTAAAAATAAAGTTATTTACAACAACATTTTCATAGGTCTAAGTCCACGTGTGATACGTGTATGGTTCCAAAACAAACGCTGCAAAGATAAGAAGCGACAAATTGCAATGAAACATTTACAACAGAAGGCCGAAACAGTTAGTTTTAGAAAATAATCTGATTTTTTGTATTCACTGCATCGGTTTTCTTGGAAGTTATATATTTGATAAATCCACTGTATATCTTCTGGTACCATGCATTCCTGAAATCACTGAGCTTCTCTTGTGATACGCATACATGCATTTGTATCTTAATTGAATGGTTCTTGTACTGTCTATCGTCTCCTTAAATGTCAAAGATCTTATACTATTCATACTTTATTGAACGTTACTCACTGAAAAGTATCACCAGGAGAAAAAATCAGTGAAGTCAATCAGCCGATAGTTGCTATCTTTAAATCATGACATCTTCACTTTTTTGTTTGTTCTAGGTTGAATTTAATCAAATAGTAATTCAATTTAAATAATGCAGATAAGTATAAATAGAATCATAGCTTCTTTGTACCCTTTAATCTTTTCGAGGGAATAAATCAAGAGTTTAGTAGATAAATATAATCAAAATTTAGGGATATTGCTGCATAGTTGTGTTCTACACAATGGAGAGAATTTTTTAAGGAAGAAAATCTCAAATAAATTTAAGGTTAAATTTAATTTGAAGTTGTGAAGAAATATTCATCTTTGGGAATCATTATAAAACACTTTTCTTAAGTAGCTATATTTCGCTTGCTTAAGCCTTTTTCCATGATTATCGGTACATAAAAATAGTTGTGATAATCGTGGTGACTGATAAATGCAAACATAATTTTGATTCATCCAATTTTGAGTCGTATCTTCTTTCTACCTATAACCAGCCAACACTCTGCCTAGTTATCGCCAAAATACTTTAAAATAAAAAGTAAATATTTGAACAACAGAAGCAAAAGCCAATAAAAAATTTTTAATTTTCATAAATTATCTACAGGATGGGATTGTGGTCCATTTGTATGCATATATGTGTGTATGTATTTGTTATATCTGTGTGTGTGTAGGTTGAATGTTATCGCCACCTGGACAAAATTTCCTAACGAAAACTATGTTCGATTGACATTATCATTGGTTTTTGATAATATATAGCTGATAACACTTTTTTTGGTAATATATAACTGATAACATATTTGATGACAATTCTAGTTTGCATATTTTTTTCGATATAATAGAGTTACAATTTATGATATCTTTACAACGTTTTTTTCCAAATTACTTTTTATTACTATTTAGCATCAAAATCTATTGTTGAATAGAAAATAAAATATCAACTAAAAGTGAGAAATGAAATTTATGAAAATATTTGAATAGTTTAAAAGAAAACTAATTACCTCCTCACGCTGTATTATTCTAAGATTACAATGCTTTACTTATTTTCACACATTCTTGTTTAACAGTTGAATTGCTGGTGGGAAGAATTTGATAGAGATACAGTATGTGAACACATATGTGACACTGCTGCTACTGAAGATGTTAAGATCTTATCAGAATAAAATATGTGAGATGACCACAGCGAGAGGTCATCTGAGAACATCAACAATAAATTTCATAGCTTATCGATTAACTCTTGACTGTGAGAATAACTTTCTGCCATATTCAACCTTTTTAGAACTTTCTCATCCTCAGTGATGACTTTCACCTTCAATATTATATATGCATACTAATGTTTCCAGCTATTTTCAAAAAAACTTGAAATTTGAGTAGTAACGATAAGAAAAAAATACTCGGTGAAATTGAAATTAAGCCGATATTGAAATAAGTTTAAATTTCGATGAAATGAAACGTTTTTAAATTTCAAATTCAAAAAGGAATTGAAGGATGTGAATCATTAGAATCTAACCAGAAATTAAATAAATTAGCATGGAAAGATGAGATGTGGAAGAGTTATCTGAGTGAGCATATGTTCTGGAATAGCTTATATAGTTCTTGATGATCTCTCTAGGTACTTAAGCAAACGGCCATATGTCTCATTTTTTATCTATATTAAACAAACAAATGATGATAGTTTGTATATATTGAAATGCGGGAAAACTAGTTATCAATTAGGATCAAAAAAAAAAAATGAATTTCGACCATATTTCGTATTATTTATTAATTAATTTACTGATTAATAATTGATATGACGAAGGAACAAACATTTTAACAAGCCTCAGTTCTTCATTTTACCGTCAATATTTTCCTGCGAACTACTTCAATTAAAGATAGTGTCCGGTAGTTTTGAGCTCTCTTCGGTCGTTTAAGTTTTAAGTAGCATATTGGTTTGATTTCAGGACAACTTTGCAATTCTATCGTTTTTAAAATAAACAATCAGGGCAACAGGAAACAGGTGGAACGATGGATAAAGCTTTTTCCTTCGATATTATCAGTTTTTATTTGATGGAAAAGAAATGAAATAGTGAAGTGAGTTTTAAAAGAGTTGAAAAATAAGTTGCAATCTCGAGATACTCTCCACTCCGTTCCATTTAATAATTTTAGCCAAAATAAAAAAATGAAATTGCCCCTCAAAAAAAGGACAGGATGAAATTTCATTCAATTTATTTAATACATAAATGCCTATCTATCATAAATAATTTTCGTTTATCTTTTTTCTTTTTATTTCTAATACAGTACATTTGCATCGTGATTGAAGTGTTTATATTGATGACTTTTGATAAACACTCGTAAATTGTTTCTTTTGAAGAGACTGAAGGAAAAAAGAGGAAGAAAACTACTTGACCGATGCATTGGAAGGAAATAAGGCCTAAAAAGGAAAGCATAACTAAATGTCATTCGTATGCAAAGCGCGGTTCCTTTAGCTCTATTAGTTCTGTTAAAACTAGTTTTTCATAAATTAAATTTAATGAATCATTGAAATTATCAAAATTTCCAAATTCTTATTCAATTTAACTTTCAATTAGCCTCCTTTTCAGCATACACTTCATTAAATATTATTTAATAGACACATTTCTTACTCAATTTAGAAAAAAAAATTCATTTAAATGAGAGCACTCATATTTGCGCATGCTTCTATATATATAAATTCGGTTCACTGCGCATTAGGACAATGAAATAAATCAGTGTTATACATGTATATATATGTGTGTGTGCGTTAGAGCATTGAAGTGAACAAGTGAGCCATAGGCCCGAATTCAAATACCGTAATAAAATGAAGCACTTCAGCGGTTCACATTTTAACCCAGTGAAGCGGAAGAGGCCATGCACACCTCTCTCATGCATTCGTTTCGTTTCGTTTGTCAACCTATAGATGACAACTTGAAAGCGTGAATGATAATTCATTCCTAGAAGAAAAGTTGACAATAAGCAGAACCACTAGTATCAAGGCCTTTCCAGGTTTCCAACAGATGAAATTACTTCCTGCGATAATGACATCAATGATGTAATTCGTGGAATGATTGTGTATGGTTGAGGGATGGCAACATTACCCATATTTATTTATTTAGAAAAATACAGAATTGTTGAAGGATGCGAATTTGTTTGTGTGCTGAGGGCTTAAATTAAAATTTAAATTAGATTAAAATTAAGTCTGTAGTATTTCGGCTGTAGATCTTCACTGAATTACCTTTCCTAACATTTAATAATAATTGATTCTATCATTTTGCACAGTTATGACTTATTGATCTTATAGATGAGTTAAAGTGCGATACATTGAAATATGGTGGGTTTTCATATTTATTGAATGATGTTGTGTGACAATTATTTTTGTTTATGTATTGGTTTCATTACTCGTAAAATACCTGAAAACATGGGCAATAAATAGGAAGGGGATAGGATTTTAAGTTCATTAGATCGATATTCAGAGTCTAATTCCTTGCAAAACCATATCATCTAACATCGAACATGGCTAACTTCATCTAATGTAATGTTTTGTCTCGAGGACTCCCTCTGTGTTATTGGATTCAAAAAAAGATTTCTAGACCGTGAATTGTGAAAAGATATGTCTCTTTCTATCTAAGTTTAAGGTTATCGAAGATGTAGAATTAGTAAACTTAATTATATTCAAAGATTAAGGAGCAACTAATGATCCCTATCACTGTTTAATAAATTTTCATTATGCTGTATTATTCATCAGTAGTGTTAATTTATGATTGTTGATAGGTATGAATTACGATTATTGTTTTTGTGATGAAATTGTTTTTTTATTGATTGGCTTAGATATTTTTCAGATATTTTGCAAGATATTTTTCCAGGAAAGAGCTATTACGGGGGTACGATTGGGCGGAGTTGGTCCACTGATAGCTGCGTCACCAACACCACATAGTGACCCGAACTTAATCAGCATCCAACCCGTTGATATTCACCAATTTCCACAGAATCCGAATATATGGTCCGGTTTGGAAGCTATAAATGCTCAAGGAGGCATGCCACAACCTCAACATGTATCACTGCAGCAGTCCACATTGCAACAGCCTTCACCATATGCTCAAATTGTATGATTTTAAGTCGCATTTTAAGCATCTGTATTTTTTAAATGAAAGACTTTTAAAAAATAATTTGATAATAACTTGACGGATATTTTTGAAGACAAAATGGAAATATGTCAAAGTTCTCAGTTGTTTCCATTTATAAAAGCCAAAGAAATGAAGAAAATCTTGCAACATGATTAGTGATTTCTAGTTTACTCTTGCATTGGGCTATTTGTTTTAACTTGAAAGTACAACTTGTTAGAAAGTATGGCTGTGGGTCATCTAGAGTTCCGACAAGTAAAATAATAGTATAGGACAACTGACTTTTGTATTTGGTGCATGACATATGCGCGCTCAGTTCTTTGCTTTACTTCCTGTATTCCGTTCTTACCGTGCTAACAGCTGCGCAAACATACTTCAAAGTTCGCGAACTATTTGCATCACTTCCTCCCTTCAGTAAGCAGAGGGTACTAATAACACCTTTTCAAATGTTATCCCTTCTTTCTCCTACTCCCTTTTATCAAGATATTTAAATAAATTTGACTTAACCATCATTTTCCTTTCTTAAAAACTAGCATATTATGCTAAGAGTGAAGTTGAGATATAGTTCTGAATTCATCAAATTAAGGCGAACATGATTTAATCAAAAATTCACACATTGCAAAAGAGTATTTCTATAAACTGAAAAACTGACTTTTCAGATCCGAAATTGTATTCAATCTAGCTTACCAACTCTAATCTTAAATTAAATATTTTGATTGCATTTATTTTCCAACCACATTAATTTCATTATTACTTTAATTCATAATTTGTTATAGAAGTTTTCTCAAAACTTTTGAAACTAATGCATTATCGTGGTCAATTGTTTGTAGATGCCACCACCGCCACCTCACTATGCAGATTTGGGGAATGATTTGAGTAGCAGTGGTTATAGTAACATGATGTCCGCGACCGGACCAAACAATCATCTTTTCTCGGTCAATATGGGCACAGACCTCGAATTTTCGCCTCAAGTGAATGCTTCTGATTTATCATCGCCATCATGCAGCGAGTAGAATATATCTACGACCATACAAATCTATCAGTTTCACTTATGAAAAATTTCCTTAGTGCTAAAGATTGTCTTCTTATTTAAAACAAAAAAAAGTTTTTTGTTTTTTATTGGTACAGTACAATACAATTTGTGTCATACAACTTACAATTTAAAATATAATACAATTAAATGCTGTAATTAGGTGCGTATTCAAATAATTTATTCATTTCGAACATATTTTACCCGCTACCTCAGCACTTTGTAACTGCTTTTTGCTTAAAATCCTTTTTTTTTTTTCAAGATGCAGTTCCAATCTGGAATTGAACCGAGAGTGACAAATTCATCAGTTTTTTTAAACAAATGAGGAGATTTCCAGAATTACTTCCGAGATCTTATGGATAAATCCTTATGCTGCTGTTGTCGGTGACGGTTATATTTCATATTGGTGTCAAAAAAAGTTGATGAAATATTTGTTTAGTACAAAATGCAGGGATATTGCTTTATTGTTGTCACATTGTTGTACATAACAGTAGTTTATAGATGCCGATGTTGCCGATATTTTTTCTTGCATTTATCACTTTTTAGCTAATTCTTCAAATTTCTAAATTTCCATTGTACAAATTAGACTTAATTCATTGTAGGAAAGATATCTGATTTTTTCATAGAAAACGTATGAATGAAAGATTCACAAAATATCATGGAATTTAAATTAAAAGATTCTTAAGCTATAACTAAAATAATTTGTTATAAATGATTATACTGCAAATTTTGTAATCTTTTTTCTTGTTGGTATAAATTTTTTCTTTTAAATTTTAGTGATGCAAATTATTAGTGAAACTACTTTTGTTTCAAATTTCTATTTGCGCGTTTGTCTCAAATTTCCATTTACAATTATGTCTCAGTAACTTATGTGTGTTTGAAATGAAAGGTCAATTAACTAGGCTATTCTTTCAAGATTTAAAAAAATTATCATCAAATAGCAGTATAACATTTTGGTAATCCATTTTTCTAATTCTGGGAAAGATATTTCAGGTATGATCTTATCCTATGCAAGGTTAATAGAGATAAAGAGATAGGAACATATAAAGCACATATATATATATATAATCGTTTGCTTGAAAGCTTTCTGGATTCGGATTTTTCCTGTGGTACCAGCGGAATGCCATTATTCTAAGAAACTCCGTGGCACTAAACAATTTTTTTGACCTTTATCTGTTTTAATTTGAATTTCCTACGCTGAAATGATTAAGTTTTATACTTTTCCCTTGAATTTGAATTAAATTAAATTTAACTGAAGAAATTTGCAATTTCTACAGTGCTAATGCAAATTCAGACTTACCATGATTCTGATTTATCGACTTATCTTAAATGCATTTTTGTAAAATGGCAATAAGGAGTTAACAAATCAACGCTAATGTAATAATGTCAGCTAGAACGAGACTTTTTCTAACCGGCTGGAAGCTTTTAATGCGCTCAGGAAGGAAGCCATTATATCCAGCAATAGGACTGAAAATACATCAAATAGTGTATGTGAAATAATCATATAGAAAATTTTTTCGAACTGTTAAAAACAAGTTAAAGTGAAAGACATATTTGATAAAGAACTTCCCTATCTTAATCCAAATTCCTGAATCTGCTGGAGGAAGTTCAAGATTAGGCATGACTGTCCAAACGATAGTTTAATTGACATGCTGCAAAGTGACAGATACTTTTTGCAGAAGTAATTATTATTAGAATCATTAGATATTAACAATTTCGGTCGAATTCCCATGTTTCACCCATATCAAACTATCACTATGTCAATTAGCATTACTTAAATAGTCTACGTTTCTGGCTCAGTTCAACTTTCAAAAAAAGTAAGTGTTTTAGGATACTACGTATCAGGTAAAGTCAGGCAGTTCATATTATATTATTATTAGAATCCTAAAATAAGCATAAATCAAAAAAAAATAATTACAAGCCCTGCGAACAGTTGCTTCTGACAATCATTTTGTGGCCCTATTTGTATGCGGTATTGCTTTTATCCCACTCATCCTATAATCATTCAATTATGGCAGGTTGTCTTTACTTGGAGATTGTTGAGAAACTGTAGTAAAGAGGAAAAAAAAAGTAACGATGAGTTATTGGGGGATTTGAAGTAAGATTTAATTATAAGAATTGTTGTTTTTGTCTTTTTCGTAAAGTATCACTACTAATTTAGTGGATTTTTTTATTTTGTTCATTTAGATAAATCTATTCACTTCGTATTGACGATAACAGTTATCCTTTACCTACCACTGATTTTTAACTGTTATTTAATAGTTTTCAAAAAAAGCTAATCTTTCTTCAAGCAACCCGTTGATGAAACTCACCCAGTGAAAATACTGATAAAGGATGATAACTGATTATGATAGACGACGATTTCCTGTGTATCATTATCCCGTATTACATGTATGTGCTGTATGTATGTATGTATCTGTCTGTGTTTACTTGGCTTGAATTAGTAGTGTAATCCAAAATGTCCACAAATTCTATATTATGTGCAGAATTTGATCTTTACATTTCTGTCTATGAGCAGATGTGGATGGATATTTGTGTTGCCACCTAGAGTAAAGTAAAGAGAAAGAAGAAATGTAATAAGATATATTATTACTCTTAATGGATGATTGTGATAAGAGGGATGACAAGGGATGAGGAAGTAATTCGAGATATTTCAGTGGTTTAGATGTCAAGGAATGAAGACTGATAAATAAAGATACACTACTATTTGTGACAACCGATGAACAACTTGACAAGAAATGATCGATCCATTCCTTATCACATATTTAAATGTTTAACCGAACTTGTGTTCTGCTTGGTCACTCGAGAACAACGATAATTATATCAAAATAAAGCAGAGTTTTCATGAATTGGAAAGTTCATTATAAACTGTGTATTACTCGATTTTTGATATTACAATTGTATTTTTCTGCATTACACTCGTTTAAGCATCAGTGAATATTACCTGGATGCAACAGCATATTGAGAACAAAAAACTACTAAGCTGTCTTTTTCATCCTGAATTTATCTTATGATATTTTTGAAGTATCATTCATCAACAATATCAACAGGTAACAAACTGAATTCTATATCATTGTAAATTATTTAGTGTTTCAAAGAGAAGGGAATAGTTGAAGAAAATTTCAAATGCTACAAATGATGCATCAATTTTGTGAGATTCAGGTTTAGCTTCTTTATGAAAAAAGAAAAAGTACAAAGAACGGTGGAAATGAAATAAAAACTGAAAATGAATAAAGCGTTGGTGTTATGTATGTATAATTTAATGGAATAAGCAAGAGAAGGAAGACATTGATGTCTGCTTTATTGGGTTAAATTTCCAGTAAATTAGTATTGTTGAAAGGAAACAGTATGGTTAGAGGATAGGTCAAACATGCGCATATGTGTTATAACATTCATGCTATTCGCTTTTTGCTAACAAAATTACTTAATAATACCACTTCGGGGGCAATTGTTTACTAAATGATTGGGGATGTCGAGAGGACTCTCTAAGAGAATGCATACAACAAGGGAAAAATAGAAGAGGACTGCCACGGAAGATAGTAAAATTAGAAGGGAATTATTCCGTGTGACATGCCGGTCGATTTTCGATTTTTGGTCAAATCCTAGTTTATTAAAAATGAGAAGTTTCAACATTGATAATAAATTAATCAGTATCTGAAAAGTTAAACATTATTTTTAATGTCCTAATAATTTTTGCCCTTCACAGCAACGTATATATGAGAATTGCAAACTGAATGAAATTATTCATTAGTTCATTCTTTATAAGAATGAACTTGATAAACTTCAAAATTTTAAACTCGATACAGGAAAGTAATGAGTAACTGTACTGTAACAAGGTGTTACCTCGTCTTCTCTCTCTCTCTTTGTGTTTTAGAAGAAAAATGGAAAATAATGAGAGAGAGAGAGAGAGAAGATTATGCAATCATAAAAGCCATGTAATGAAATGGCAGATGTCTGTATATTTTTTCTTTAATTGAACAATAACAGGGCGGCTTCCATTTAGGAAGAGAATCATTCATTCTACTAAGACAAGAAATGGTCTCGTGTCTCTTTATGACGTGATTTGCTTAATGAAAAATGGTTACCATTTAATTTATCTTTAAATTGGCTTTCTCAAATTCAATTCATTCTAAATTTCAACATTTGCCAATCACTACTGATCGATCTATTTTCATTTTACACATTTTCATTGGCGTCATCCTTTTATCACAATCTCCATATAATATGTATGTCATAGCGACCATTATTGAATTGACGTCGATTTGAAAAATATGTCATACGAAATGAACTATAGCTCAGTTTACGAACAATCAATAATTCTGAAATGGTTTAAGGTCGTAAAAAAAAGCGAAATGATATGTAAAATAATACAACAATATTGAAATCAGGGAGATAATTCCTGAAGTTAACTCTTTACGCACACATTTTATCTACATTTTTTCACCATACCATTTTCATAGAAAAAAGAATTCATTCCAGATGGATGCGCTAGAAGACATACCATAATTTAGAATAAATTATAAAGGAACCATAGCACTGCTTCTATTTTGCCGACGTCACCCATTAGCGCATTTTCTTGTGACTTCTTATGACCGTGAATGATCCTATTGAGGTGCGCCGCAGGTATGGCTTCAAAAAAGAACCGAATGCGGGAGTAGTTCTGTACACGGTAATTATAATAACATTGTTCGGAAAAAGGTGTAGTGTATAAGTTAATAATATGAAACCATCTCTGAACAAACAAATGAGCAAATACTGTTGTTGCTCGATGAATACCATAATTCGATCACAATTATGCATAGGGATCAACTTTTACAGCCTTTCCAGATCAATTACTAATATAATTCTTTTTGATCGAAATTCCCTGAAATCGGAGTGTTACTTGTCAGTAATGTCAACGATATAGGGATAGTTTTATCTTAATGTAAAGACTCATCCATGAAACCGCAATAAATTTATATACTTATTACTTTACTCAAATTTCCTTTGAAGAATATAAGCTTGCGTTGGATAATTTTGAAACTTTTCGTATGCCATGTTCATATTCTACATGTTCATTTAATGGAATTTCTTATTGACATGACAAATTTCAAGGAAATTTTCTCATTTACGCAATCGCTTCAAAATTAAACTAAATTAAATTGAATAATCTATGCCTCTTTATGTTATGAACATTTCAGCAAGACAAAAATGGAAAAAAAATCTGTGAAAGAACGACAAAAAAGAGAGAAAACTTTAAATTTAACTAGTCCAATAGCTTATTTAATAAATCTAGTATGTATATTTGTTAAAAAAATCTAAATGTTTTTGTCAGGCGGTATTTTGACATAAATCATTGATGTTTAAGGCGGTGGAGTGAAGGAAGGAGGGTGAGTTGACGAAGCCGTAAATCATGCCGCACCGGAACAAACTTCATCGAGTGACAACTCGACCCAAATAGATAGCTCATTCTACCTTTCATTAAGCTTTTCCTATTGTTCGTAATTTATCATATTTCCAGACCTATAATAACAGATAATTTTCCTTGGAGTTTTCTTTAGATATCACAAAAAAACATAGAAAGGAATTTACGAAGTAAGACATCGCTAAGGTGCAATAAGGTACCAATTACAAAAAATATTTGCACTAAATTACAGTGATATTTACAATTGGAATTTACATGTTATGTATTAGAATGAGTAATGCTTTTGTCAGCGATGCGCAGAGGTTATGGAAAACTATCGGACAAGAATGCTACATTTCGAAACATAAAGTTAATTTTGGAGCTTATGTGTGAAAACAGAAAGATAATGAATTGTTTTTGCCCAATAATTTTAATCAGACCATTAAGACCAATTAATCTAAAAAACTGAACCCAAATTAGTGTTTAATAATTGAGAGTGATTTGTAATTTCGAAATATATTATATCCAAATATGGCGAGCAGCTTAATTCATCATAGTGGAATAAATAAAATTAGGGATGATTTGGCAAAAAATACAAATACGCGCAGAGGTTATGGAAAACTAACATCATAAAACCATGGAAATTATTGCATTTAGAATCTATAAATCATTTTCGAAAACTTCTAATCCGTTTGTTGAACTCTCTTCTAAATTGTAGCTAACAAATCATTTTCTTTGCCCAACTGTTAGTTGTTTCACAAAAAGTCCTTCATTTTTTTCGCAAGGGAAATGCGTGAAGACCACCCACCCCGTGCACAAAATTCAGTGGTCGGCTCAGGAGTAAGACTTCAAAGGCAACCGATTAAACAAACATTTCAACAAATGCATGATTTGTTGCAGATAATAATTAGGAAGTCTTTTTTTTGTCCGAAAGGAAAATACATAATAAATGAAAATGTTCGAATTTTGAAGGGAAAGCTCCTCTTTGAATATTATTTGGTAATCGAGACTAACTGAGGGATTTTCTAGCAATTGTTCACTTCTCGAAAACATATTTTTGAATGGACTTTGTCCCGAAATGCTTATAAATTGTTTCAGGTATGCATAACTAAGTACAATAACTGCGAGGTTAAATTGACTGGTTTTTTTCTTAAAGAACATTTGTTATTATTGCTCTGAACCCTATACTTTCCAGTTTACTGCTGCAATATAAAAAAAGTTGCGAAATAAAAAACTAGATCTAAACATTTAAAATGTGCTTTACACACATTACCACATACCCATCTTTGTTGCATATACATCTTATCTTTTATGCAGTGAAAAATCAACAAAATGATGTCACTTTTCAAATATATAATAGTTTAATCCAGCAGATAAAACACTCGATTTTTTAGTCTTATATTAAAATTTGAATTTTTGGAGCACAAATTTTTTCTATGATGATAATATTCTAAAAATTAACAAGCGGTCAACAAAAACAGACAAAATATTATCGAAATAACTGACGCGCAATCAACGACAGTATTCCCGGTTATTATTCTTATATTGTATTTCATTTCTTTCATTTGTTAAGAAAATCTTTTTTGAATAAACTCAAAGCCATAAACACCTTTTTTTTCTTACAAACACTTGGTATCAGAAATCATAATCAAATTTCAAGTAATCTGTATCAAATTCTTGAATACGAACATAGCCGTCCTCACCACCCGATACTACACAGTTACCACCTGGATGAAATGCCAGAGTATTGATTGGACCGAAATGTCCTTTAAAACGGGCGAACTCTTCTTCAAATACCTGCAAAAAGTGATAGTTTTTTGTATAGTAGCAATTTTAAATTAATAATAAATTATTCTAGAAACCTGCGATAATTGAAAACTGAGAGTACACGAAAACAATGAAACAATAATTCGAGACCTAGCTGAGACCAAAACTGATTTAACTGTTTACCAAATGATACAACTTTGCTTCAAAATGTCCAGAAGCAGCTGTCGTTTGAGTTACTTTCATTGCTTCTTCTCCACCACCCAGAATAACGTGATCCCGAATGGGTGAAATTGCTGCTGAATTAACTGGACGTTCCGCCCTGAAACATTATGAATGAAATAAAGTGGAACAATATTTCAGATAACTTGAAACCTTGCTTTTAGATGAAACCTTACAATAAAGAAACAAAAAAAAAACCAGAATAATCTTCTAATTCTTTTCTTACATCGAGACCTAAAAGATTGCTATTTTTAGTTATATATTACAGAACTTACTTATACGTCTTTAAGCAATCCAAAGTTCTTGCATCAAATAAACGAGCCGTTTTATCTTTGGAAGCAGTTATCAAGAAACTTTCATCAGTACTCATTTGCATATCATTGATTTGAAACTTGTGAGCTTCATCATTAAAATTTACAATGTCATCTCCCTTGCGTATATCATACTGATGAACGTTTCCCTTTTCATTACCTGCAAATACACTGCTTAAGAGATATTAATACAAAATCACAACCTGCTTGATTTGCTGAGTTTCTTTCGAATAACTGAGAGTTTTTTCTATTCATCAAAACTATACTTTCGCAAAACTTTTTGATACACTAAATGACAAAAATTTGAAGCCAACAAGCTTCTACTTCCTAGAACGCATCCACGAACTGAGATTCTCCTGATAAAGGTCTAAGTGCTGTTCCCAGTAATGTTGAAAAATATGCAACTATGCTTTCGGACATTATCTAAAAACTAATCACATAGTGGTTAAGATAAGCTAAGAACTGAAATTTCACAACCAACAAGCTTCCTAAATGATGCAACATTAAAGCAGTTAATCTGTAATTTGTAGCTTCCCAGAAACATTACATGTTGTGCTTAGTTTCGTGATATAAACCAAATTGTTATGCATCAAAAAACATGACGCTCTTTTTCAGTAATATCTAACTTCTGTTCAAACTTCATTATCATTTAATAAAAAAAACACGAATCTTTCTCCAGAGATATATGTTTACCTACACAAATTGTGTCATCTAAGTGAGTCCAAACGCAGGAATTAGCTTGTGTCTGAAGCGATTTCCTGAATGTTGGTTGATTTTCGCCACTCATTTGTGAGCCATCTCGTATATCATAAACAAATAATGAGGCCTAAAAATATACATTGCTAAAGTCAGAAAATAAAAGTAACTCGGCGATTTGGTTGAGATAAATAAAAAGGATTCAATATAAAACAGTCCATTCTGCATAAACTTCTTCAATTAGTCTATAATTATCCAGCATGATTACTAGATCTTTTATTATTCATCTGTAGCACTGCAGTCAAACATGGTATACTATCCTTCTGAAAATTTTAAGGAATCCGGTAATAATCCTGTTGTACCACCAAATTACACAGGTATTTTTTGTTTTCTAACCTAAGAAGTAATGCTCGAAGTTAATGTTCGAAATTATTAATAAATGAATGAAAAATGCTTTAAACAACGTATTACAGTGAGAAAAATCACAGCTTTTATGATTATGAGTTTTTCTAGACACTAGGCAATTTTTTCTTGTTCTTAAAGTCGAGTTACCCAAGCATTTGACAGACATAAATCATGAACGAACCACATTCTGCGTCATTTTTATAGTTGTAAAAGCAATCAGGTTCCCGCTGTAGGATAAACTAATGGATCGTGCAGCTGTTGGTGTTGAAACTGAATTTATCACATCGCCTGTCTCACAATTCCATAACTAAAACGCCTTTTCACTTAATGACAATTGAACTCATATATGAACGCACATCAATGTAAAGGAAAGCTAGCTGAAGACCGAATCATCAAAACATGGATTAAAGCATAATCCTGACACTGGATTTTATACAATTAGAGAGAATTAAAAGTGTGTCCACGCATCATTACGTTAAAAACACTTGCAGAGCATAAAAATAAATGCCGTACCTTAACAAAAACATCACCGGAAGCAGAGCAAAAATGTCGCGTATCCCACGAGACATCAATATCCCAGATGACACCGTTATGACCATCGTATGTTCCGATCCGTTCACCATTTTCCATATACCATACACATGGACTTTTATCTTTTCCGGCTGAAAACAGTAAGTCGCCGTCTCTATTAATGCGCACTCGGGTCAAAGCACGATCATGACCTTTCAGTGATAATGGTTTCATCGTTCTTCCTTAAACTTAAAACAATAAGTAAAATTATATCTTGTGTTAAATGAAAGGATGTAGCTCATGACATTTCGCATGAGAGATGTTTAAATGATGGTAGTGCTATCTTGTTTAACCCTAATTAACGCTACATTCATATTCTTCTCTAAAGGAAGCACACAGTAAATCCTGTCACCGTCCTCCTTTCTTATAACTGTCCTACTTCACTGTCCCTTCTACCCTTTAGTTACTACAGCTACACCTCAATTAACTCTGCTCCATCGTCCCTGAATGTATTCCACACAAACACAACGGAATAATGGCTAATCTACACTCAAACCTCGTCCAGTAGGAGTGAGCCCGCAGCAAGTCCGGTGACGCTGTGTAGCACATTGTATCCTAGCACAATTTAGTAAAGTTTTGCCCTTCACGACGAATTAATGTGAGTCTGAGTGCAAAGCCAATTTCTACTTTGCTAAGTTCAAATCCCCACTGTATATATGAGAAGACTGGCGTTGCAAACTCTAAATTTCAAATCCAAAGAGAAAATACTCACATAGTTGGAGAAAGGAATGGTTGTAGAAGTGGGGTATTTAGAAAAGGAAAACCACCAGGGAGAAGTTTGATCCATCTTCAGGTTGGGATGTAGGAGTTTTAGACAGTAGCAGTATCATATGGTCGGCAAACAGTAAGCACGACAGAATTAGTAGTTTTCAGTCTCTCCTTCGGATGGCTACTTTTAACAACGGTATCAAAAATGAATCCAAGATGTATTGTTTCCAAATAATGCATTCATAAACATTTTAATTTTACTCATTAGTGATGTAATTCAAAGACAATGTCGATCATTTGAAAAAAGATGGTGCATATTTATTTGATACCAAACAGTAGTTCAACATATCAATAACAATAAGTAGTGAACTAGACTAGTACCTAAAACTGTATATTAAGTTTAATTGAATGATGATTACTACTAACTGGTGAGGCTTTACATCCACCTCGTTGGTTAAGAATGAACCAGTAGCATTCGTTCTTCATTTAAATTATATTGCGCACTTCCAACATGTAAATATGAAGAGCATGTGGTATATTTCACATTGCAGTACCACAGCTTACCTCTGAGATGTATACTAATCTCGTCGACCTCCACTGTTGGTGACATGTGATTTGCCAAGCATCATTTTAGCTTCAATCTGAAACCAAATCTACAATCTTGTTTATCACTGATTTAGAAATGGGAAACACTAAAATAAACAATCGAGAAATAAAATAACAACCACTAATGAGCTATAATAGAGATAACAGATCAAAGATAATCTCACTCTTCAATATACACAAGAGAATATGGAATGATGCTTAGAGTAAAACTAAGTGTGTGCTAATAAAGAGGAGAATATCTGGATGGAACTGAAAATCGCACTCGTTTTCGCAATCTTTGTTCTTGTTCCCGAAGAAGAGCTTGTCTTAGCTTCGTTTCTAGTTCCGATTGTAAATCTTCTTCTAAATTCCTCGGACTCATTTTCATTCTAGAATCTTTCTTTCGCAGTTTTGCCTAAATATCCTTAATTGTTTATGAGGAAAAACTTGTGGAAGAACAAAAATAAGCATATTTTCGATCGGCATTGTCGGAAACAATATACCTCCACATTCTACATTTTCAATTAATCAAGGAACAAAACCTAATAAATGAAAAAAAAAAAAAAAACTACCTCAATTCTCCAAAAAAGTGTCGAAAGCAGTCTTCTTGATTCCAGTTTCCGCCGCGCAATTACCAATTTTCTTCCTTCTTCCGCGATCATTTCATTTAATTGATGTTCCTTCTTTAGTTGCCTCTTTTGATTTCGCTGAACTTTCAAATCGAAATAATTTTTTTGTTGTAATTTGAAATGTTAATGTAGTTTACACTGATTCTGTTAAACTAATACAAAAAGCTGGATATACATGTACAGAATTTAGATTTGGGATTTTTTTTCACTTACTGCATTAAACTGTTGAGAATGATAAGCTTAATCTCCACTCCTCGAATCTTATTATAGTTGAGGTGTTTCAATATTCCAGTTCTCAAAAGCTTTTGAGACTTAGAAGTAGAGAAATATAGAAACTAAATCAATTAAATTAATAATAAGATACTATTTACAAAACTGAGGAACTGTCGAAAAAAAAAATCAATAACTTTTCGGCTGTGTTTCTCTTCCCTTTGTGGTCTACGATCGACGTATTCTTTTCTGGTATTTGTTTTATTTCCCTCACCTTTTTCACTGCAAAAATGAACATTGTTCAGTAACAACCATTTTCCGTACATTCTGTTGAATTAAGGTAACCGAAGATTCAATTTTAGCTTTCACTAATAGTTAGATAAGTAAAGTTTCCAAGTGTATTGTGCTATAAACACTAAATCTATACTTGCATCATTAAAAAAATGGCCAATACTCATTACAACCTCATCTTTTCATCATCTTCCCAGATGTCAGTAGTCTCAAATAGTAACTTAACGTTAGAAGAGAATTTAAAACTGTCGTCAAAATAGTAAAGATGAAAAAACCAGTTTCTCACCGATCTTGACATTCTTCTGAAATTTTTTGCTTCTCTAATTCCTTCAATCGTTCTCTTTCGACATATCTTTTATGTATGTTTTTGTTTGACAAATGTTTACTTTTATCAAAATCAACCTGCAAATTAGAAAATTATTCATTTTTAAGATACAGAAAGGAGGAAATGAATTCAACATAAGTCAATTATTCGTGGCAACATCCACTAACACGTGATAAATACAGCATCCTCGCTTTACGAACTTCTGGAAATATGAACTACTATAGACTGTAAACGAAATTTGCTAACTTTGATCGCTGCTTCGAAAATCCTGTCATCCGGCATTTTCTTCACTAACTTCTTGTTACGCAAAAAATCCATAGCTCTGACGAATGATATATATTCTACAAATTGTACATATCCTTCAAATAATACCTCCTGAAAGGATTGTTACAAACCTTCAGAAACCGCAAAGGATGAGTTAGAATATTTGAGATGTGCAATAAAAATCCATGAAATTCTATCTGTAGAGAAGGGCTGACCTGTCCGAATGAGAAACCTGTGGTACGTATACCAGATATTTTAGAAGACATTTTCCTTCTATACGGATCGCAAACTGGGATATCAACACAGCGAACTGTTCCAAAACGTTCGAAGACATTTTGAAGAACATGTTCATTAGGTACTGAATCATCACTGGAGCCACATTCCTGCCAAATAAAAGCCTTCCAAAATTCGACATTATAAACTATGGCACATATTGTATCAGTAATGCCAAGTGGAATTTAATGCACAACGATAGAACATGACACAGCAAGCAGTCACATTTCATATTGCGAGATGTAATATCATCTTTTTAGAGGACTAAAACAGGAACAATGCGACAAATAACATCGTCACGTATGAATGAGTGAGGGAAATCCAGTTGACGATAATTCAGTAAGCGAAGGAGAATTTATGAATTGAAAAAGGTAACCTTAAACCAATTCGATGGCATTTTCGCTAAATAAATAGTATCGGGTCGTTCACCGGGTTCTCGTTCATTCATATTATCTGAATTTCGAAAGAATTCATCCCAATCATGTCGGGTAGGAAAATCCGACTTCGCTTCCGCTGCTCGGACTTTTAGCGGCTCAAAAAAACCCATTACTTTCAACGTATAACCATCCAAAGCTTTAATGACCTGGAAACTATATTTGGCATCAAACGCAGAGAACTTCAGGAAAAAAAAAGAAATTCACTGATGAATTGTCTTCTCTACGTGGTTCATATAAGTAAGTGACAGATTTGCCTAACTTCAACAGCTGAAAAAAAAGCCTTTCCAAATATATTCTCGTTGATATGAAAGCCAAATAAGAGTCTTTAAAAAAAAAATCAATTAAATCAATGTATACTTTCAATACAAGTTAACGACTGATATTAAAAGAACCTATCATATTTAGATATTTACTTAGGTAAACGTAAACAGCGAAGTAACATATTTGAATGCATAATGCATAACATCTCAACAATAACTACTTAACTTATAACCTTAGCAAGAATCTTGCGGTTGGGGAGCTCTGCCTCGAAGCGAACCAACTCGATAGTACTTGTCATGACACGAATTGATGAAAGCTACAAAATAAAAAATGTTGTTTATTGTGTTAGCAAAAGTAATTTCTCATATCAATGCCAATGCGAAGGAGAAGAACAGAGAGCAGAGGAGGACAAGTGGACTGCGCCGGAAGTTATAATCAAATAATCAAATATATTTCTGAAACAACGGTATCACATTGTTAACAGGTACAACCCAGACGATCTAAACCAGCAACAATTTAACAAAGTTATGACAATGCGAAACATCTAGATAAGCAATTGGCTTCTGATGCTTAGCTTCTTTTAAAAGAGTTGTTCATAATTATGACTAGTACAAAATTGGATTATTATTCAGGAGGCATCTAAAGTCAGGAATATAATATGTTACTATACCCAAGCATACAAACGGCTTAACTTCACATAGCTTTACATCTGACATTGCGAATTTCTTCATACAGAAAGCTAAGATATAGCATGTAGTTGACATTCATTCACTGTTCATTACGATCTGAAACAAAGTGAAGAGAAAATGGCAAATACCTCTATAGGACTAACGGCTTTTTTGATTTTCTCCATCAAATCCCAGTTAGAGATCGACTGTCCAGGTTGTTTCAGCGGAGGCAGACAGACAGTGACCGTCATTCTGGCTGATGGCTTCACGTAAAGACCCACTGGAATACACAATGGTTCCAACTCATCAGCCATTGAGATAGGTGCATCCTTCTCGTGATTCCTATCTTCAGGACAATTTCTGAATGAGAAAATGAAGCGAAATGAATCTGAATATCATAACGATATGTTAAATAACAAAATATCATAAAAAAGATGATTTCAATGAATTAAAAAATTGCATACAACATTGTAACTTAACATATAGTCAGAGACCGAGCGTCAAAATTGTAATTAATATGTCGAAGAGGTGTCAATTTCTCTACCACAAGGTACCAAGAGAATATCAGCAATATATACACAGCAATACACACATAAACAACAAACAAACAAGGATACCTGGAATAACTGCACATAAGCAAATGAATACACTTTTCCTCTGCTACGACCTGCTTGTCTACCTGATCAGTTAGTTGGTGGCTTTTGTATGTGAATGTGTGAATGTGATATTCATTGAAGGGTAATGCATTCCTCTACGACCTATGACCTAAAGCTGAACTTCCACCTTTGTTTTGTTTCTGACCACTTAGACATATACAAATTAATTGGAAAGAATAATCTAATTTTATGAATACCAAATTTTATCACATGATAAAGGACACAATAACTGCATTTAACATTTGTTGTGGCCCTGTAGATGAGAATTGCTAAATCTGAAGTTCACTTAAATTCGCGCAGTCCTTATTTTATTCATTTCTTATGTCCTAAATTTAGCACGTAAATGCGATTTTGAAAGGTGCAGCTGATCAACTTTAAAAGTAAGTAATAATTATTAACAAGTAGTGCAGTTCTGTGAATGAATATATGAAAGAATCTCTACTAAATGGATTAACACCACCAAGCTATTATTAGTATATTGGATGGTACTGTCATAGTAAATAATGTCAAGTAAAGGTCATTTTTGAAGTTGAAATGAGGTCAAAATAACTAAATAATAATGAATTGTCAGTTATCCGTATTCCGATGTTTATATTTTTATGGGATTTGTTGTGTTAATTGCATATTTTTATAAGTCCGTTGTTTAACCGGGAAATTTATATTAATAGCATGAAAAAAAAAATCATGTCTGATAAACATAATATCAAATAAGGGTCATAACACTATATATGGATCAGAATCTAAACGATCAGTAAGTAATTTATACGCTTTAGACGACGCATACATTCAACAATATTTTCTGAGGGATTTAATTAAAATGAAGATTGGGATTTGATCATCGTAGTTCATAGGAATACATATGTGTTTCCTAAATGTATCAATAGGTACAAATATCAGGAATAAGTAATATCCAGAATTAATAAACCTTTGACTTCGATTCCTTTAGCAGTATTATAATTCAGTGATAGGAAAGCCAATGATAATCAAAGTCAATTTTTTAGTGACGAGCATTTTTTTAAGTTTAAATTTGCAAATCTAATTTTTTCGTTCATATCGGAAACTGTTCTCTGATCTTACAGTGGAGTGTAATTGTTTGGTTTCTGTAAGGATGACCTAGTTTTATCTGATATTGCACTACAACAAAAATGGCTGAATACTTCATAGAACATAATTGATTATATTTGATCGGGAAGTCAGTGAAAAAGAAAACAATTCTGATAATGAATGAAGAGAGGCTCGAAACAGATGTGACATTTGTACACTAACTTAGAAACAAATGATAAAAATATACTGCCTCAAAAGCTGTTGAATGGTTATTTTTGCCATCGCTTTCAACTATTTTAAGTACTACTGGCCTCTTATCTCTCTCTATGAATTCTCAGCTTCCATTTTCCCAGAAACCTTCAACAGTAGAAGACTCTCAGCCGAACTAATAAGTGGTTAGAATCACTTGTATTCAGAATATAGGAATACCGTATAGGATATGTGCACTCAGTGCTCGTGCTATAGTTCTGGTGAATGAAAAAAAAAAAAATGTGCTCGAAGAATCGAAGACCAAAATTTCATTTTAAATTCTAATTTTACTCTCTTATTTGTTCTCAACAGTTAAACCTCACAAGACGTAATAAATCCATCTATCCTTTTTTAGCCTCCAGATTTCATGGAAGATTTTATTTTCTCCATTCAATAAAGCAAAATTAGGAGATACAGGTTCCCAAGCAAAAAAAAAATTCCTTACTGAACATAGAAATCAGTGAGATGCTTCTAAACTAACCCATCTCCTACACCTGTTGACCACGAAAATCCAGCTGAGTGTATTTCACTGAGTTTAATGCCTATTTTTTGTGCTGAATAACACAAACACGGAAGGAATGATAATTTACTGATAGCAAAGAAAGTGTTTTTTTGTTTGAAAGGAATACAAACATACCCAAAAACTTCAGAACAAATGTGTATGATAAATTATTGCAAATACAAAGATTTTTTCAGATTACTGCAGTACAATGAAAAGTGAAATGAGCGAATACGTACCATTTATGAATGTATATTATCTATAAACAATACTACACATACATTGATAACTGAAGACACATATAGGACCGAAAAAGAACGATACCGTGAATTACTCGTTGTTATTACACCATAAATTCTAACGTCATTCAAGTAATGCAAAACTTTTTTCCATACGTTTCAAAGTTATTCAAAATTTCCACAAAATGTTTTAATAGGAACAATAAATTTCAAAATCGAGCAAGTTTGGTTTTTTGACTCCATGTCTTGGCTTGTAAATAGCTTGTAAATCATTTCACTGGCTGCAAAAAGCCAAACAGTTCAAGAATAGGCAAGAAATTAACCGTTAATACTAAGTGATATCAATGAATTTGGACTAACGAAAACACTATTAGAGTAATTATTATTGTTATATAGCCGTTTCATCAAGTAAATCAACATTTACATGGCAAAACTTTGCCTTAAATCCATCTTGAATTCTTAGATCATATAAAACTTAAAACCTAAAGCAATGTGCAACAATTAATCGAAGAAATTCACGTTCACAAATAAATCCGGTGGAATTTAATGATTGAAAGATAGGTAAAGAAAGATACGGGCACAAGTGCACTCTGAGGGTGACGAGGCAGCAGAACATGAAATAAAGGGAAAACTTGAGAGACAAGGATTATGTTGATCACAGAAGAACAGATCGAAGGATAAAGAAAAGTGGATAAATAAATAGGAACACTTCTCAAGATTAATGAAATATAGTCATACGAGCTACTGCATCAAAAACTGTAATCCTGCTCCATGATACTTTCAGCAAGTAATACATTCCATGTTCCAAACAATAGATTTTAGATCAAAGACATGAAATATGAAATCCACTGTCAATCTTTAACGTTTATTGCTCAAAAGGTGACATACATACGATGTAATGCCTTAGAAAGCAACTGTTATCAATATGAAAAAACTAGAAAACTTTTTCAATAAAGAAATAATAATCATAAAACCATTGCTAACCTCAAAAAAAGGTAGAGTAAAAAGTAGAAAAAAAAAACTGCTCATTCCTTTTTTTTTTATGATGAAATGCGCGCACTTATCACCAAACAGCTGAAATGAGCTTGACTTCGAGCACTACTATAAATGGAAACTTACTAACCAGTTATCCAGACTTCGAGGGTAAGTGATTTTCCATGTGGTTGAAATATAAATCAAGCCAAACTTTTTGAAATGAGCAAAATGATAAGAAATATTCCAAACTAAAATAAGCATTGATTTCAGGCTTAAGATTCTAAAATAAAAAGATCGGGAACGCGAACAAGCGATGTTTTGCCGTTACCACTGCTAAACTGAGCTCTTCCTCGTCCTCCTCGAGCTGAGTTTGACTGTCCACCTCGTCCATTCCCAGGAGGTCGTCGTCTAACTGGCATTCCATTCCTACTACCAATACCAGATAAAATTGAAGCATCAATACCCTGAACACGGAAATGGTAATAAATACTCAGCTCTTTATTAACTGCAGCTTAAAAATCAAATCAGAATAACATAAAAAGCTGTACACAATAAGTTTCTTATTTTCATATCTACAGTGAAAAAATTAACAAAAACCAAAAATGGATTCCTGCAAGGAAGATTACTGTCAAAAGTCAAACAAATTTTCTCCATAATCTGCTGACCAATTCAGCAATCAAGAAATCCGCTTATCACCCAGTTAGTTATGCAGCATATGATGCATTAAATTTTTAGAACACTGATTCTGTATAACCTAGTAACAGATAATTACAACTATCAAGTAATGATGAAGATTAAAATCATCATCACTGCCCTCTGGGTAAAACATGCCTGTGCTTTGAGCGATTCCTGCAGTTTTCTGTTGAGATCTGCAAGCTGTTCAGCAGTTAAAGCGTCAGATTTCATCAAAATTCCTCCATTAGAAATTTCCGCTACATTCTTACGGTCCTCTGAAAAATTCGCCAGTATATTATTATTTCAAGACTGCAAGTTAAAAAATTAATATGGAAAACCCTAATTTCTTAATTCTACTTTGTTTAATGATTGCATTTTATACTTATGTTAATGAAATAACTAATAACATTTAGATCATTTCTTTCTTTACTTCTTTTAAATTGAATGTTGAAAAGTACCATTTCCAACCGGGCTAATTTGTCCGAGGCCCGAGTCTTCACCGAGTGAGCTTACAATAGACGAATGACTCGTCGAATGTTTCATGACATATGCTGCTGATACAGCATTTCTCGCTTGACGCGCTGCTATATTCGTCTCACTTATGGCTGTACTATTTACAGCAACCACTGCAAAAATCACTTAAAGATATCGCGGATGCAAAATACCTTATTCTATTCTCCCAGCAACGATCGAATTAAGCATAATGTTACCTTTCTTACAAAACATTTGAAAAAATCTGTAGTACCACCAGTTAATGACTTTATGGATCCATTTTTAGGAATAAAAAAACACAATCTCAATAGAATGGTAAAAATTGTGTAAATCAAGTCCTGTATTACCTTCGCCGAAATTTTTAACAAGTTTGATAAGTTGAGCATTATCGCAGTGAAAACGACATGCAAGAGCAATCCCTTCTTCGTTTTGCTTTTCTGCATTAAATCTTGCAATTTCACCGCGCAATTCCGTTTGTTCACGAT